AATTTGCAGAATTCACAAAAATGTTCAAATTCTGTTTTAATATTAGCGCTAAATGAATTCAAATTAAAATCACCAAGTACAAGAACTTGTAAATCAGAATAACTACATATTACATTCTCCATGCATGATAAAATATTTAGGTACTGTTCGTCACTATAACTAGGTGGTATATATACTAAGCAACATAAAAACTTTACAAATTTGTTTTTTATAACAGCAAATAACAACTCCTTGTCCGCCGTTAAGTCATCGATATTACTAATAACATTAACCGAATAGCATTCTCGTATTGCTATCAGGACACCTCCCCACCCTTTGTCACCTATACGATCCTTACGAACTACAAAGTAACCCGCGGGAAATAGTTCACCATCGCATACGGAACTTGTTAAAAACGTTTCTGTTAAAGCAATAACATCATATTGACTTTGACAAACATTGTTATAAAACATGGAGGTTTTAGAGCGCAACCCACGTACGTTCTGATAGTAACAATTTAACTTTTTAGATTGTTGACAATTTTTATATTTTTTCTTGTTTGGAACGAAAGTTCTGACGCCACGGTTTTAACAGAATGTCTTTAGGCCAATTAGTAGGGGAAATAATTTTGTCAGCTAGCTTGATAGGTACTCCCAACTTAAAAGAAGCGTAATTGCCGCGAGCTTTTAGTGTTTCCACGGAACATACATTCTCTTCACATAGCGTCGCTAAATGAGCACGCACCTGTTCCTCTGTAGTCCCGACTTGAACATAATAGAGATGAAGAAAACGCATTCTTTCTGCTGCCCGCAGTATAGTGGTTTCAGGATTAGCAGTACCACGCAGTAATCCCGGTATTGGCGTTCGAACTCGCCTCCGTTTGACTTCCGTCCATTCTTGTCTATCCAAGCTATAATTTTGGTTTTGAGATATTTCGGTGACACTAGGATCAGATATGGCATTAATATTAGTCACTGGCTCTTTATTACGAACATTTGATACCAATTTATCCACACTTTGATCATTAGATAAACACCCGTTGGTCGGACTAAAAGGTATACGATTCTGTAAAGATGGTTTCTTTTTAGTGTCATGCTTTTTTATTCGATTGTTACTTTTAGTTTTGGCCTCAATTAATGTATTTTCGAATACTTTTTTTGATGTTGTTAGTGGAGACTGCGGTATTGGTATGGGTATTTGTATTTTACTCTGTATGTCTCCATCAAGAATAGAGGATTGCATAGATGTCATATTCTGCATAATAATCGTTTGCTTTTGCAAATCTTTGTGTAGGTTAGAAATTAACTGTAACGGTTCTTTCAACACCTCCTGTAGTTCCTCTCTTATTAATTTCCTAAGGAGATAATAATTGTCACCACAAATGCAACTGTTAACCCTTTTATCATCAGAGCTTCGTCTACGCCTCGTTGTTACATTTTCGAATTCAAACTCCGAAACAGAATTATCAACAGCTTCGAAAATCGTATCATTAGCCACGCTTGTACTCATTAGAAGTCGAATAGGAGTAGATAAATTGCCAGACTTAGGTATTTTACTTCGGCATGAGACACATACCCATGACCGCAAGACGTCAGGTGTAAGTCCAAGATATTTTTCGGCGCTCAAACCAGCACACAATAAATCGTAAACATTATTGCATACTGAGCACGTCATAGAATTATTGTCATTGATGCTGTGGTTACATCCTACACAGACATCCATGTCTTACTATTATTAGAAACAAATAATATCGCAAAAAGATTTCCAAATCTGTGGTTCGAACTCACGAACTGCGGTAGCACAGTACTGACTTATCCGTTGCGCCAAAGCACTTTAGATAGCGAACTCGAAAATAGCTATTAGTATTTTCTTTACTCAATGCCGTAGATATAGTGCGAGACACAATCAAGAGATGGCGCTTTTCGTACAATTATTACAAAGTCACTCTTAAGTCCATGCGTGCACCAATCAAAACGGCATAGCAACCTCTTTCATTTAAATAAAATTAACCGACTCCTTACAGATATTTCACTAACTAGGACAAATGGTCCTGGTTGTCGACACTTCCGCACTCAATCACTTTATGCACAGTTTACAAATGTTTTGGATAAGAGCATTACTTTAATATTCACTCCCTTGTCGATATTTTTTAAATATAGTTCACCCGTTGATATCTTTAATTAACACACTAAAAACTTGATCTTCGATGTAGATAACACTATCACAGGTAAAACGACATATTCCGAACTAAATGTATAAATATTAGACAAAAATACACTGGTTTTTATATTTTGCAACAAATTAAATACGGAGCCACTGTTTATGCCACAGCGCCATCTGTGTTCAATTTGACCTCTCAGGTATGTTCACTAGAAACTACCGCGACGCATTCTGCTTCTTGGGAACACAGTGTCTTTATGTTGTTATTCTTTGATGTTTTTTATATGTTGTGTATGAAGAATGATATGGCTATCGATTTGTTTATTCATCGTAGACAACTTTACAGTATCACTTTTAAAATTGTCGTGATGATAATAAATATAAAATCTAATGACACTTTATAACTTAACTTCTAGTATAAGTTCTATATTAAGAAGCACGTTACTAATCAGAAGCTCTACTTGTTCAGTAACACAAAGCTTGTTGAAAATCCACATGAACTGATTTAATAGTTTGAAACCGTTGAGCAGTCAGCTAACAAATTAAAATCCTACTATTTATCTGCAGGGTCAAAAGTGGAATGACTGTTTTACTCCTAAAGTTATTCCTCGTCTAATAAAGATAACAATTGTTTATTGTTAATATTCTTTCTCCTACTAAACATTATATATATATGCGCATGCAGTAACTGTTGTCGTGTTAGCAGTCTCGGTGCGTGTCGGTACCTATGTACGCCGTTTGATACTGTTGGTTCTCATAGCACAAGGTCGGTGCGTTTTGCACACACAATCGCTCCGGTTGCGTAATGCCGTTGCACTTTTAACCTCTCGTTATGTATGAACACCTTTTAAATTACCTTCATATTCTCAAAATATTCAGATGCATTTCGCAGCAGAGGGTACACCGTAGGGATTTTGGTGGCTCTCTTTAGTGACATGCCAGGCGGCAGGGAGTGTACACTACAATATATTGTATTTCACTATAGTGAGAAATCATTTTACATAATTCGCTTTATATTAGAATCTTATATATTCGTTTCTCAGAATAATTACAAAACTACTTGAAATTGTGTGAAACTGAAGTCGCTCATCGATTAAAGAAAGATTCCGTTGTTATGGATAAATAACATTATATATCGATAGATAATGTTCGATTAGATATCCTTAATCTACAGTGATTTCCCTATATATAAATTATTTCCTTCCACTTAAGTGTGCTATTGACATTATAAGTGTACCAGAATCTGATGGCACAAAACCCGAAGAAACATTCTCAATTTTCATATGGCAATGTTAATTGTTGATTTTTGAAACTATTAATATTGACTTGTGAAACTATTAATATATTTTGTGAAAATTTCCAAAAAGCCATTCATTTTTCAAGCGAGAAATATTGTTTTTAACGTTTGCAGCTAAATTTGTGATAAGAAGCTGAAAATCAACATTTTTTTTAGTTAATTTAGGGCTGAATCTGGATTCTAGAATAGGATTGTATTTGCAACAATTTCAAGAATTTACGTATCTGACGTTAATATTTTTATGTCATCGATTGAGTTTTAGCTATTATGATAACGAATAATGAAATTAAAATCGCAAGGTGATCCAAATAAACGAAATGAATTAATGTTCATTTGTTACAATGTCATGTTATTATTAGCTGGTTCAGGTCAGGGGAACTCCCGCCAACTAATCGTTTTATTCTAACCATATTTACTCAAATAGAATAATAATAATATTACAATTCAGTATACAAATAATTAACCTAGTTACAATATACTTACCCAATCCGTTTTTTTTTCGTGTTTAAAAGTTAAATAATTTTCGAAACTCAATAAACAACTCATATTCTACTTGTACTTTTTCGTATTTGTATTAATATCTCAGTTACGAACTTTGCAAATTTCAGTTTTTCAAGATGTTTGTTAAAAAGATTCGAAATGAATATCTTTGGTCCATTTGTTTCCTGCAAAAATCAACTTTTGTTAGTCTCCATCTAGTGAGGTGCTTTTATTGTGTTTTTCTTTTTTTAATACTGTCTCATTTTATTTGCTCTAAAAAATATAGCGTTTCTAAACGTTATTGCTATGTTTATTACCCACATACTTAGTATGTAAAGCTCCGTACGGATATCGCCTCCAGACACTCCCTAATTGGGATAATTCCGGGACATTACGACGGATGGTAACCCTACTTAAATGTTTGTATGGTTGCTAATTTGTGTATAGCTCAACTATAGATCCAAATTAAAATTCATGTTGGTCCAAAGATAATCCAATCAAAATTGTATGTTTATCATAATTTTTATGTTAAACATATTGAGGGCTAACCCTAAATTGCTAAATTATGTAGTGGCTCAACTTTAGGCTTAAATTTCGTGTTGGCCCAAAGATGATCCAATCTAATTGTACTCTTATGTTAAACATACAATCTTAATGAAGTCTGCCATCCGTCTGTGTATTCCAGAATATGTTCGTTGAGAAAGGAAGCGCCCTGGTGTAGGTTTTATATACTAGTTACAATTTCTGCCGTATTTCTCAGTCACAAAATTTTTGATGTCAACGTAGCAAGCGTTACTCGAACAATGCTTTTGAGCCCAAAAATCTGGGATATATCGAGATCCTTCTCCTGGCTTACAGATTTTCTCCTACCTATTATTTTTTTACGTCATAGCTATTCGGTCTAATCATATCGAAGGATTGAATAGTAATTTAGATCTAAGTTGACTTCACCAGTTAACACATCAAACCTCGTTTGGGTGAAATTTCCGATCCACTAATAAAATGGTGCATTTATCACCCTTATCTGAGATCAGGCCCTTATAGTGTATATTATATGTAACATTGTTGTGTTACTTTGCCGCAGTGACCCGCACCGCGTCTGTTCTGGTGAACGTACCTGCGAACCTCTCGCTGGTGAATGTCACCGGCAACTGCAACGGCTCCGCGCAGTACATCCAGCTGAGCTGGTCCTCGGGCGTGCTCAACTCCACGGTCATGAACAGCCTACGACTCAACTTCCTCAGGAACGACACCACCAAGGTGTACGCTTTACGCAGCATCAACGTCACAGTCGACGCCAAGATCATGGTCAACTCTTGTAAGTATCATTAGTAATATGTGGATACGAAAGTTACTGCCCAGTCGATTGTGATGACATTTTGATATGGATTTGGTTTGAGGTCTGAGATAGGGTCTAAATATACTCTGAATTTAGGCGACTGAAATACTGAGTAATTGGGGTGTAGACAATTAATTTTTTTATGTTATAGACACACATAAAATAGTATCATTCATATAAGTTAAGTTCGTGCATTCGTGCATCTGCATTTGGAGTCGTTAATACCCTCCATTCCGCATTGGGCCAGCGTGGAGGGTCATGGCCCATCCCCCTTAACCATCCATAAGGAAGGCCTGAGCCCCTGCAGTGGGGACGTAAAAGGGTTGATGATGATGATGATATAAGTTAAAATCTAACAATAAGTTTAATTTTCAAAATGGCCTCCTTGCTATGACGTCACCCTCTAACACTATTAACATTCTATCTATGCATAAGGTTTAATCCTCTAAGTTTTGATACGAGTAAGAGGGGCGTGACGTCACGCGCTGTTTGCATTCACTTGACAACGAATATAAAATATTTGTTCTTTCATAATTATTTAAGTAATGTAATGAATATAATAAGTCTATAGGTGTGATTATCGGTAATAGTATTAAACACTATAAAAAAAAAAACTATTTTCTTTTACTGTCTACACCCGTATTGATATTATCATTTGATTTATAATATATCTGCCGTTACTGCACAAAAATAAGGGGCTCTGTGCGGGTTGAAATTTTAATAGAATACGCTAACCAATGTGTGCCTCATTATTTCATATTATAGGTAACGCTATCCTAATAATATCGTTTACATTTTACATCATTAAATTAGATTTGACAATTTGTTGTACGTACAATTTGTAGTGAAATGATTGACCTCGCTGTTAGAATTGCGGTCCTGATATGAGTTTTATCATTTTATTTAAATAAATGTAATATTTATTTCCAATAAAATGCGTCAATTACCTGTTTGTCTATTTCATAATTAATCGCAAACAGCAGAGGCTAATTAAAGTTGCAGATATTTTAAATATTCGCTCCAGTTAAGATTCTATTATTAAAATCGTTGTCCAAGTGTGGCCTTGGCTTGACTGAAGTAGAGAGCGGTCGCTTTCGCGCCGTTATTGCTGAAATATGACGCAACAAACTCCCAAGTCTAAAGATTCAGTGAACGAGCATCCTTTGTTATCTCTATTGACAACTAAGTGCTTAAGTCGAGCGTAAAGCCTTTCATAAGTAAATGACGCTTCACAAAAAGAGGATTAAGTGATTTGTTATTATTATGAGAGTGCGGAGGAAACTAGAGAAAACGAAACAGCTAATACCTATTCAAATGTTATTATTTTCTATCTCTTATGTTTACTTTAATTTTATTTCTTTATTAATTGTTTGTAAGTGTCCTATGTATGTGTGCCAAATAAATGAATTAGATTTGAAACAAAATTGCGGGGTGCATTGTTCTATTTAACTAAGGTTTTATCAATTCCAATAAAGGCTTACCAGAATTTTTGTATTCTCGTATTGTAATCGGTTTTCTCGTAACTTGAATCTTGTTATGCGATAATCCTATTAATATTATAAAGGCGAAAGTTTGTAAGTATGGATGTATGGATGTTTGTTACTCTTTCACGAAAAAACTACTGGACGGATTTGGATAAAACTTTACAGCAATATAGGTTATACATCAGAATAACACATAGGGTACTTTTTACTGGGAAAACTTCTCACTCCCACGGGATACCGACTTCCACGCGGACGAAGTCGCGGGCGTCCACTAGTATATCATAATTGGCTTATTCATTATAGAAGTGTTGCGCTTGGTGTTGGCGACCTCCAACAATAGCTAAGGATTATGAATTATTATTGAACTGTAATTTCTATTGTCTTGTAAATTATATGATAAAATGAGTATTGATTAATGAATATCAGATTGTCATATTGTCTTGTATTGTATTGTCTGTTGGCAATAATATCACATAAACTTTGAAATTTTCTTTCCTTCATGTCATAAAATTCCCCAGGGTCTTCACTCTACGAACATTTTACACCACAAGTCTTTATTTCTGGTACATAACCAGTACACTCAATTGCTCTCTGAGCTACTCTACTCTACTCTACGTACGTTGATAGTTTCTTTGATCCTCATTTGAATACGAATTCATAAATTTAGTTTGATTTGCCTTCCACATTGAAATCTCTTGAACGAGATATACTATTCGTATTTCTATAACGTTTTATTTTGTCACCTCAATTTCTAATTCAATAATTAGTTATACTTTTTAGAAGTTCATTTCTAATCCCACCATTCTAGAAGTATCGTTTAGTTTCTATGTTTTTGAGGCAGTCCTAAAGAAATAATATATCTTCGTAACTAAGCTATGATTAAAACATTATATCGATGATAGATGGTAGTATACACACAAACAGATTGTCTACCGTGTTTGATGACGTGTTCAATCTTCAGATATTAGAAGGAAAACATTTAGAATCAACTTGTGGATTAGATATTTTCCTACGTACACAAAAAACTACAATTCAAGTGGACGGTTTTTTACAAACATCGTCATGCCGTCCCGAACGGTGATGGATGTTTTTATTGAATGATTTGTATGTACATGTATGTGTGTCAGGGAGGTGTTAGGAGACGCTTGAATAGGCTAAGCTTGTGCTCGCGTCGGTAATGCGTTGAATTGATTAAACGGCACTGGACAACAGTTTATTTTATGTAACAGTCTCAAAAGAGAATATTTTTTATTGTACTTTTAAGTGAAAAGTTTTTATATTACGAATTTTTAATATTCGGCTACAATGTTTTAAGATCTAGCGATTTCAGTGGAATAATCTGATTAGACATTGGGTATTTGAAAACGCTTCGTCTTCATTAGGAAAAAATTTCTTGGCTCAAAAGCGCTCCATAATACTTTGTTTTTACAATAAAAATATTTAAGAAAACTTGGTTGTGCCGCAAGGAATCCGTTATGGAAATGTAAAATTGACATAACTTATCAGTTAGGATTATAATAATTTACAATGATTGTAATTGTTTTCGAGTATACTAAATCGATGGCTTGACGGCGCAATGGTTAGCGCGTTTGATGTGATTAGTGACTAGAACTATATTATCTTAAACTGCATCTCTAGTTTTTAATACCCGCCAATCCGCACTGACTCTTTATCTGATTCCATGCACACATAGACAAGATCTGTGCCCCAGCAGGGGGGACACTGATAGGCTGATGATAAATAACACTCGGTTTCTGAATTGTCAATTTAAAGTTAAGCGCGTCTCGAACTGTACTTTAACGTCACTTAAGCAGGTTTTCTTAAGAGTTACTTAACTAATAGTCCAGGCAAGAACCGCTTATCAGCGATAAGGTCGCCGATTGTATCGATTGTTCTATTATTAAATTATGGTGTTTATTAATTAATAAAATGTTCGGCCAGCGACCCCCGGCGACAAGGTGCAGTTGTCGTACGGCGAGGCGTGGCAGACGCCGGTGGGCACGTCGTACCGGTGCGCGCGCGGCACGCAGCTGAACCTCACCGCCGAGCCGGAGGCGGCCGAGATCGCGGCCGCGCTCACGGTGGCCGCCCTGCAGGAGGAGGCGTACAGGACCTCGCACGGGAAGGGATTCAGTGCAGGTGAGATGTATACTTGCATTGTGTGATGTTGGATTGGATGTAACTATATGCGATAACGACACCTTGTTTAATGATCTGTCTATACTGAATTGATTGTTTGTATGTTTGTTTGCAACGAAACCACTGGACCGATTTTAAAAATTCTTTCACCTACGGGAAGCTACGTCATATGCGGTGAACACAGGCTATATTTTATCCCATAAAACAGTATATAAATGGAGGTGGAAGAATCGATATCGAAATATACGGTTTCCTAGGGACGCTGCAGGCGGAAAGCTAGTTAATTATAAAATTTGAACGTAGAAGTTCTATGTCAATCGATAAATAATCATCTTCTACGTACAATGTCTTATCAAACGATAAAACGGGTGAAGCATTTGATGCGTCGTCCGAATATTAAAGGCGCATTATCAGTTGTATTGAGTATCTTAGAATGTAATATTTGTGTTACAATATTCTATCTATTTAAATTGTCTAAGTAACTCAACCATGCACGTGCAATATATTGATATGTTTGTGTGTAATTTCTTAATGGAGGTATGTGTTGTTTTGGATATTAATACCACGTAGAATGAATTTGATAATTCAAATTCGGACGTGATAGACTCAAAGTTTGACGAGTTTGCAGTCGACTTGGTGGCACGCTGGTTTCAGGGCGATGCCATTGTCTCGTGCCTAAATTCCATAAAAAGAATACCTTAGCTACCTCAGTAAGATCTAAGCAATGTGTATGGGTGATGCTGTCTGATATTTAATGAACGAGTAACATACATATTTTTGATTTTTTAAATATAAAAAATAATATTTACTACAGTTTTGTTTTTGCTAAAGTAATAATATATTTGTATACATACGTATTCTACCTATGATTTCAAATATTAAAGTACTAAAACATTGTTTGGTGAGCTGCATGACAATCATGATTAATTTGTTAATTTCAATTTAAATAAAGTGCGAATTAGAAAAATTGCAATATCGGAGGAGAAGTCTGGTGACTTGAAAACATCAAGCCTTATTTGAGGCTTAGTTTCTGGCTCCAGTCTTCCACATGATTGTTTACTTTGGCACTTGTTGATGTAATTTTTAAAAACATTTGTGGAAGAAAAATAAAAAGCCATAGCCGTAGCCATAAAAAGAAGAAAAATTCGTTCTCGCTTTGCAACGAGAAAGATTATTGTTTAATATACAAGCTCATATTAATATCGGTGACGTGCTAAATAGATAGTGCTTAGTTGATTGTTATTTTGTTATGTGTAAATATAGATTTCATATAATGTTTTCACTAAATGAATTTACGTAAAAATAATATATATGGCGTCCTGTTTAATTGGCGTCCGTTTACATTCATTATCTGGCCAACACATGCCGCTGATAACTGATACACACTGTTCATATTTTCTGTTTCATGATATCGGACGTATGGTCGAACGCAAATGAATGGCTCGTTAAAACAAACTCTTTTTGCATAGCAATAAAAAGGCGTTTTTATTGTTAATCAAAAAGAGTTGCAGGCTATGTAATTTCATTTCAATCTCGAACAATGGTAACTATGCAAGCCTTTTTTTTTGTTGGTTGAGAATGCAGTTTGATAATAATTGTTTGGCAAATGCTTCTTTGTTGAACAGAAAAATTAGGCAGTATAGTAGAGGTCCTGAAAGTTTCGAATGTGTAATTTTCTACAATAAATAGAATATTGTAATTAGAAATCATTCCGTACACGCCCCTTTCGTCTAAAATATTGATAAAAAATTGATTTCTATCATTATTAAGCTACCTTCTGTCGCAGCTTAGAAATAAAATTTTAGCCACTTGTATTATATAAAAGTCTACTATTATTTACAAATTTACTGTCATTTATCGGCTATTAAGCCCGCATTGTTAAGGCAGAATAGGGCATCTTATTTATTTTTTACACCTTTTTGGTTCAAAAATCTTCTTGATTGCCAATTGCTTTTGTATACGATATTTAATGACAGAACTTATACAGATTCGTGTTTAATAACCATTTATCAAACCAAACGAACCGAAAATTCGAATCCACCAATAAAATATTAACAAGTCGGGTTGTATAGCACATGGGATTACTTGAGAATCCAGTGAATATTTGACAGCAGTCGTATTAATATTCACTGTAAGGTTGTAAAATCTAAGAATTGAATGAGAGTTTTATTTTGTCAACTATTGTTTACAATGAATTTAGTACAATGGTCAATTGTGTTAAAACGCAGATAGGACAATTTCCGTAAAATGTATCATATAAGCACAGCGATAAGTCTGATTATAATGAATGACCCTTATATATATTAAAACAAGGCGTTATTCAGATTGTCAACGGTCTATTGACGCACGATGACCTTAACGGGCGTCGCAGGATATCGATCACACGGACGGTCTGCGCTTGCGCACCGTTTTAGTTATATTTACCTTATGATAAGTAGTAAGCTAATACTCAACGATGTCTGACATCGATCCCCCCAGGCGGTGTTAGTGTGATTCGTAGGTCAAACAAACGTCGAACAAATTAGCGCCATTTTGAAAGAAACTATATCGAGGGTTCACCTGCGACCTCTTAGTCAATTGAGTTGTATTCGGAATTGTTGCATTTTTCTTTGTCATTTAACATTTTTGAAGTGAAATTTGAAACATCAGTAAATTTAGGGATCAAAATTGACATATTATTCAAGCTTAATTAAAAAGACAATCAACAACTTAGTCTTATATGAACAAAGAACCTGTAAAGGGTCTGAAACATCATTAAAACTAAATACAAACGCATGAAAATATAAATAATCAATTAGTTATTCAAATCACTACCGCTAGCGGCTTTGCCCGCTTAGTCCTGTATTATTATTAACCACCCGCTTAAATAACTCTTGTCTATTTATTAACCATAAAAATACATTGTGTAACTTAAAAGATCTCAGCATATAGACACCGGGAAGCAGCTTTGTATTATAATATCAATAGAAAATTTCCGCTATTCTCAGACTTTGTAGTAAAATGATGTGTTTTAATCGGTGCTCATTTTTATGGGCGTGTAATATGGCATCATAACAAAATATATAAAATTTACAACCTTTACCTTCGAATAACATTATTTTGTTTATTATATCGCTTATTTTACTATTAAGAAATACCCTTCATTTAATATATACTTTTTTAATATAAACATTATTTTACATAAAACTTGCCTTTCAAGTATATACGACTCTTAATCTAAATCCACATTATATAACGACAATCAGGTTAAAAATCAATTAACAAATTAATGATATCATATAATATTCAACTTCATATTAAATTTCAAATCTCATAAGATTATATAAAATAATGAACATTTGAAATAATGTATAATTAATCTTCTTTTCTTTTGTACAATAGAAATTAGGTAAATAAATAACTGTTAAATGGCGCCGGTTATATCAATTATTTGTTATATTAATTCGGGTGTAGACAGTAAACGAAAATAAATACGTATTATTTTTTTCTGGTAGCGTTTAATACACTATTAATTACGAATAATCACACTTTTGTATTTATAATATTGTTTAAATTTATTATGAACAAACAAATATATACTCAGTATCACGTGACCGCAAACAGCTCGATAAATAACAGAAAAAAAAGTATTTAATATTTTTTTGTCTAAAGGACTCAATATTGACTAGATTGTTTTTACAAAGTCGCTTTAATTATTTTTGCGAACTCTACTTCCAACATTACAATCTTAGTTCCTATGTAAACAGTTACTAATGTTCATACATTTTGAAATACTTTGTTGCTGTATTTATTTACGTCGTTTGTTATTTATGTATAAGAAGAAATAATTATTTGCATACTTGTTTAATGTATGAAATGTTTAGTCTTTGATTTATGTCAACGGTCGATGCTTAATTGCGTCGCGCCATGTTTGTACCAGCCGTGCCGTATCTTGGTTCGAATAGTTGTTGCAGCTGATATTGCTTTGTATACATAAAAACGGTTTGGGGAAGTCCCGCGTTTAGTAAAGACCGTGCAATGTCTGTCGACATCGTTATATACTGAATAGAGATGGGCCGAGTACTCGGTTGATACTCGGTACTCTGCGTACTCGGCGGGTTTTTTGATACTCGTACTCGGCCGAGTAACTCGATATGAATGCCGAGTATACTTTTTTAAGAAAAGCAATATATTTCGGTAGATATAATTAAAACAACAGTGTTAATCAAAAAGTATTCATTACTACTTTCTACTAGGAATTTGGTATCTGGATTTTAAGATATTCATTAATCTTTGGAACTCATTATTTTCCAACATAGATATCGATTGGTTATCTAAAGCGATCATCTTTGTTACAGCTTTGTGAATTTTTTTAGCACGCAAATCAGTTATGTCCCGTTTTGTACTAAATGATTCGATAAGGATTTGCTGTATTCTCATCGCATTCGATTGCGACGACGAAGTTGATGCTACTGGCTCACGATTTTGAGATATTTCCAAATCTTTAAACTCTTCCGCGTGTTTTATTTTAACATGGTTTAACATTGCCGTCGTAGAAGCCGTACTATCAAGCGACTGGTAGTTGAAAGATGCGGGCTGGGTGAGTCCTGTGGGTGTATCATGGCGAGCCGGCCTCTCGACCGGCACGAACCTGTTTGTACTTGTTTACGCGCGCGAAATGGGAATTTAATAAAATCGAGTTACTCGGCCGAGTACTCGTTTGAAAAAAAATTGAGCCGAGTTAAACTTGGTACTCGTTACTCGGCAAAATTGTTACTCGGCGCATCTCTAATACTGAAATATAATGTGATTAAGAGGTGAAGCCAAAAGGGTGTCGCCCGGCGATGTGAGTGATAGGGGACAAAGGATGGCGAATCGCTCCGTTTTACATTAATTACTCACAAAATTTTATGATAATTTTATAAGTGTTGCGTTATTTTCTCTATTACAAAATGACTCGCACATTTATAAGTTGTCAGCGACTCGAACAGTAATATCCCCAAGACTAGCGGCTACTTTACAGCCAGACTAGTCAAACTAGCCTTTCTTATTGAGCTAACACAACATCCGTTTCCGGACATATCGTTCATTTCTTTTCGATAAGTAAACAAACTTATTTAACGGCCATATATAAATAGCTCTGTGAATAAATTAATTGTAAAAATAAGGAACAGGGTAACGGTGATTATAAGTATTATAAGCTCGGTGGCGTAGTGGTTAAGCGCCGCGGCCCGCGATCGTTGTCGTTAAGCAACTTTCGCATGGGTCGGTCACGGGATGGGTGACCGGAAAATTATTTTCTTGAGTTACTCGGTGCTTCGGAAGGCACATTAAGCCGTTGGTCCCGGCTGCATTTAATACCCTCCAATCCGCATTGAGCCAGCGTGGAGGGTCATGACCCATCCTCCTTAACCATCCATAAGGAAGGCCTGAGCCCCTGCAGTGGGGACGTAAAGGGATGATGATGGTGATGGTGATGATGATGATGATGATGATGATGATGATGGTGATGATGATGATGATTGTGATGATGATGATGATGATGATTTAAGTCTTCTAGCTAGTGATCCGAGAGCTAGTAGTATACAATAGTCGATTGACCTATAACCTGGGTGCCGTTGCCGTTACTAGCGCGCGACTGCGGCGGCGCCGACCTGCCGGACGCGGTGCCCATCGCGGTGGGCTGCGCGCTGGGCGGGCTCGTGCTGGTCGTGCTGGTCGCGTACCTGGTGGCGCGCCGCCGCTCCGCCGCGCGCGGGTACCTCTCCATGTAGGCGCCGCGGATATAAGGTATTGTTACACCTGCAGTGGCAACACTGTATACACTGTACATACTGTACACTGTGTAATGTGTGTATACTGTACATGAAAAAATAATCGACTGTCTCATACAATATCCTGGCACATAATAATCTTACACCTTATATATGTTAGGTTTAAGGTATTTTATAACTCGTAAGCAATTTACATTGAATTCATAATGAGATGAGTATAGAAAACAATGAAACATGATGTTATACTAGGTTTTCACTGCAGTACAATCTTGTATATGTTGTATTACATTTTTTTTAAACTAATCTTAAATCAATTTGTTGTTTTCCCGTAATTATTTCTAGGCATGATTAATTTTATTTTCTTTTTATTCCGAAGATTATGTGTATTTTTTCCTTTGTAATTAGTTGTATGGTAGATTTGAATGAGTCAGTCCTTATTGTCTCTATCAATATACAAGTGTAATATTTATATAGTTGGGATAGGTTAAGGTTAATTTACTTTTCTTGTGTAGCCGTTGAATTGACATTAGAAATAGATAATGAAATACCTTGATAATTTTATTATGACATTTTTGTAGTGGATTCAAATTAGTTGGCGCAGCGGACCGCCAGATTTATATTAAATACTCGAGATGCGATTTTACTAAGGAATAGAAATAGTAAACGAAAATAAATACGCAATTTAAAAAAAATACGGATTTAATATTTTTCTGTTATCGAAATAGAATTTCTTTTTTTTTTACCCAGTCGTCATCTTATTGATGTTGGACTGTACCCTTAATGTAAGGTTTAAAATAGAGTGACAGACCTGAGCATTTTGATTTGTAGTAGTAGTAGATGATCAATTTTCTATTTTATTGTTTGTTTGCGTTGAATGTACTTCGAAATTAAGTAAAAATCTAATTTTTCACGTATAGGAAGCATACGCGGGTGATAAAGGCTGTTATTTAGACGGTAAACGGCTAGTAGTATTAAAAATTATTTTTAAAATAAATCATGTATATGTTTTACAAACATTATTTGCGTATGCAGTGGAAAGACTTCTGTAGCACACTTAACTGCATAAATGTGCCTAGTGAATGCTAAGTTAAAATACAAAAAAAAAATGCTTTGAAAGTACATTAAACATTTATAACTATATTTTTGATTATCAATTTTATAATAATTGATATTTGATGCATTTGACACTTTTGTTTACGAATGTCAAACAATTAAAAGAACTGATAATGATAATTAGGTACAAGATACTTTACACAAGAAAACCTTAGTAATTGTTAAAATTTCGACCTATTTCGGCATAACAAGGGTTAAGAATCGGCCTAAATATAAAAGATAATAATAATAACAATATTTTCAATTAAATAAGGAATTTAATTATTATTTGCATAATTGAATTCGATCGGAGTGGGGACTCTGTTATTATCGCCTTCGCGCTATGCTTACGGTTCATTATGTTATGACGTCATATTTCTATCCTTATTTAAGATGTTTATTACTTAATAGCTCAATATGATATTTGTTCTTGTGTTTTTTTTTTTATTTTAACTTTTAACAACTCAGTCCGCACTTTAATAACTATATATTAAATCATTTCAGGTTGAAAGCGGTGACAGTTGAATAGTAAAAGAAAAATGTGTTATCACTCCCCCCTCCTCGGCGATGTCGCGTAAATACGACCTAAACATTATAATTGTTTTTATTTCATTTTATTGTATAGAAAAAATAATATTGAATTGGCTAATAAATGAATCACGTCGATGAAGCAGAGATTTGCGTTTTATAATCGAAAAAACACTGTTGCCATTATAAAAATAACAACTTAGTCTTATTTCCTAGTACTGTGCGATTAAAAAAAAATTTTTTTTTTTTATAAAACGATAACTGTTCATTTCATTTGATCAATTCAATACTTCATAATTATTGTATTTCATATATATATTTTAGAGTTTGATTATACTAGGAATATTGCTCAATGGTTATTTGTTTTCCTTATAAAAATTTCTCTCGTAAAACGAATAAAAATTATGTAACAGATTTTATGAAGGTGATTAATTTTGTGGTTTCTACCTTTGCTATTATTGAAATTAATATAGTTTCCAATTGTCATCTTGTTTTATTGCTAAGGAAACAATATTATTATTATTAAACTTAATATAAACACAACTAAAGAAGTGCGACAAATTATACTATATATAAATAGAATTGTGATGTTATTCGTAGATAATACTTGGATAGGTATTACATTTGCATCATTCACAAAATGTATATTTAATCTGATTTTTTTAAAATATTTTCTAATAATATATGATATGTAAATTGTTTTATATCGTGATTGATTTTATCCAAAGATTTGATTCAGTTTTATTTCGTTCGTGTTATATAAATGTATAACCGAATAACATTGTAATACAATCATGCCCTGTCCATTGTAATGATTATTCTGTAAAAGACGCGAGTAGGACATAGATAGTTGTTAAAAAAAATGCAGTGTCTTTTACTATAAATAGATAGTATTTTAAATATATTTCTTTAAGTGTAAATCAGTACGCTGAGAACTCCATTGATATATCGCTCGATAGAAGCATTTAAATGGCCGGTGGTATCTTTAAACATCAATGTTGTGGCAACTTTTAACAAGTTAGTGTTGCCAGTTTGAAATAACAGTCAATGGGTTGCTCAGTATTGCCCTACGAATTATGTCCGAACACATTAAGGCAATTTTTTTGTCAATCAGTTATTCTACAACAGTTTTTATGGGTATAAATACATCAAAATACCTGAGTATTCCGTTTGTTTCAGGACATGGTTCGTGAGGTGTGCGTAAATAAAGTCTGGTTTGATTTGGGTAATCTAGAAATACGGTCTTTGGTCTGTTGAACTGTTTATCATTTTATGTTTGTAAATTATTTTAGTCTGCTTTTACAAATTAATCGGTTAGAAAGTAAATTAAGGTATTATTCTAATCTCTTTCGGGAGAGAAGTATTTATTTTTTTAATATCTTCAAACTTTAATCTATTAGCGTGACACTAGAAGAATTGTAAAATGCGCATTTGAGGAAAAATAAATATTGTCAAATAATTTATATTGTTAGCGTAAGAATCTGTACTGTATAGCGCATCACAGTTGTAACCGTTAATTTGAATTTAAACTAAATATAAGCAAAACCTAAAACCATTCGCAGACCGGCCGATAATAAATGTGATGTTAGGAGATGTGAAAAAGAATAAACGTTTTTTATTGCCACATTAGACTTTTATTTGATCTTAAAAGAAGCTGTTAAATAAATTACGTACATTATTATTTATTATGTACAGTCACGTAACAAAGCCTTACGAATATTTATATATACAATTATTATTTCGTGTTGGACTAAATCTTAGTTTTTGAATGAACAATAGTGTTAAAAAATAATAAATTAGGTACATATTTTCTTTGCTTGTTTCGAATCCATACTTAGTTCTACACTTGGAACAGATAAAAATAGATTGGAAGTAGTTTTAGTTTTAGTCTTAGCTTGATTCCCTTTTTGATTCGCCAAGATTATTAAATGACAGCGTGTAAGGGAATTCCGACTATAAATATCAAACGCAGAGTGCAAATTTCTGTGGCATTATAATTGTTAAAGTGAAAACAATGTTCATATCGTCACAAATCTTTTCTTAACTATACCGTAAATAATACATTATAATTACTGAACACGATTGCATAAATTAATTGCGATTGCAACACACGATCTTCAAAGTTTAACTATTAAAACTGGACCATAGTATATATGTACAGGGTGCGTTGTATCGCGTCGGTACATATAAAACTAACACTAGTGACTAAATGTAAGTAAATGCAATATTTAGCGTTAATTGTGTTACATTCAATTTGTTTTCACCTTATCTTCGTGCGATCATGCTTTGTCACATTAATATGAAACGAAAAACTGTTATAAGCAAATAAATCTATATTATTACAAGAAATTCTTTGATCAGGCACTGTCTAGTGGAAATCTTAACTACATAAAATCTAAACAAAGACTTGTTGTATTAAACATTATTCAGTCTATATACTTTTTTTTATGCGGCATAATTGAATTAATTTTTCTCTAATCATCATGTTAAATATAATTTGTGTGCTATTTTCACAGTCATTCTAATATGACAAAGCAGTATGCACGTAAGGAAATAAGTAATAAATTTTGAACAAATTCTAAATATTAATCATAAATCAATTGCAGTCTAGATTTCTAGATTACTGTTAAAAGCTAAATTATTAAAATATTTACATGTTACATTAAACGTACTTTGAATACTGGTAATTAAATAATTAGCTGGTAAGTCACCGTTCCGATATTTATGACTAAAGACTCGATAGATTATTCCGATATTTATGAATAATTCATCAGTTCGCAATATTTTATTAGTTTTACAATGAATATAAAAATTCTTATCTATTTTTCTCTATTTTTTTATATGTACTTTGTGCTTACAACGTTATATACTAGTGGACAATATAAATTAGGCTATCTACCAAATTGGTTGTCAGGACTATTACAAAATTAAAACATTTCCACCTCTTTTACTGATTATGCGTTAAGTTTTATTTATTTATTTAGTACACCAACGATTGTTACATTAATTTGATTTAGTAAACTAACTTAATTTAAATTTGCTGAATGTACAATCGTTTACAGGTGAACATCTCATGCAAAAACTGAAATAAACATTTACTTAGTTTACGGATCACAAGTTTTAAATTAAATGAACTTCTTTATTTAGCAATCCTATTAATATTATAAATGTGAGATTTTCTTTGTTTGGATGTTTGTCCGTCAATCACGCTGAAACTACTGAACGGATTTTGATGAAATTTGGTATACAGATAGGATATTAGCTGACTTAGACTTTTTATCCCACTATACATTTCCCTAGGGTCCACGCGGGCGAAGCCGCAGGCGAAAGCTAGTATACAATAATGATGAAAAATAACAAAAAAAAGTGACCATTTGTCCATCAGTAATAAATAACGTACACACGGCTACACTTCAGGCTACCACAACATGTCAAATTTCTGCAATTGACGGACCTTTAACCTCAACTTATTAAGGTATAAAATCGAATGGGGAAATTAGTCGGTTTTGTATAGTCTGATGAGCAGTTGACTTTTCTTCAAAATGAATTTATTTGGATTGTCTGGATAAATTTATTATTATAATTTGAATCTGGTCCGATGTCTTTTTAATGTAGACAAATAATCTCATTCACGATTTTAAGCGCAAAGTTGCATTTTAATTGCAAATAAATTAGACCACTAGCATCTCTTGACATCCGCAACTATTATATGGAACTGTGACATACCACCGTAAGTACCTCACTATTTACATGAGTATTGAGTGTTGACCACATAAATAAAAGTGACTTAAGCAAAATACTAATTAAAAATATATATATTTACATTACATTAGCCTCTGTTTGTGACTCGAGTTTCCATTATTACTTATAAACAGGAAAAATATAAAAAAGAAGCTACTAAAATAAATGGCACTAGATGGCGGTATTATGTTATTTACGCAAATTCTTGACACTAAACGATGACGTAATAAAGACAATAATTTCCATTCCTTTTCAGGAGACATAATAAAAATGCTGAAATTTTTAACTTCGAAACTTTGATATTAAAAGAAACACGAAAAACTACAAATTTACAGTAGGTAAAAATAATATCTGTGCTTATGTACATACTGTAGATGGTGCTTGAATAAATGGGTTCAAACAGCTGACCGTTATTAATAATATTCGAAACTCAATTTACTTTTATAACATCAGAAAGAAAATAGCAACGCATATCATAGACAATAGGGATGATGACTAATTTTTGTTTCTTTGTCCGTCACGTAGAGTGTTAAAAAATATTAAACACGTATTTTTTTATTTTTTTCGTAATCATAAAATTACGGCGTTACATTGCGTTGAAACTTCGCATGACGTCACGTTAGAGTACGTTTTCTACTCAACTGTGACGTAGCGAGCCCCCACTCCTCAACTTTTATGCATGTTATCTAAGCTATTTCTTGTTAAATTGAAGTAAAAAAAAAATACGTATCTAATATTTTTCTATTATCTGACTGACGGATTAAATAGAATTGCATTTTTTTTTACCCAGTCATCATCCCTATTAAATACCACAAATGTTTAAAAGCATGTAGCGACATCTAGTTTGATTTTGAGGACGACATTTCTTTTTGAAAATTATATGCTGTTATTCCTTTTTCACTCTATGTTATATAGAGTGTATTCAAACTGCATTTAGATATCGTGGAAAATGCTCTATATCATGAGTATTGAATCATTATCTATATATTAATATTCTTTGGAATACTATTTTCAGCTCTACGTGATTTAAGTTATTATCATTTATAAGTACATCGATTGATAATTTATATTGGTGTCGACTCGATGTTTACTTGTTTGGTAAATTAATGGAGTTTGTTTTATAAACTATATATCACGCTAATTTTCTACATTATTTAGTAAGGCACATAAAAAGCCTTAATACGAATTTGTATGTCTAAATTCAAATAAAATTAGGTATTTTACCCCCTCTAGCGTCAACTATCAGGAATTACGGATATGCAATTCCTTGAAGTGGTAACCGCTATTAAGTAAAGTCTCAGTCAGGTTTCAATATCGTATGAAATCCTTTTTTTTCATTTCAATATTTCGGCGGGAAGTTACGATGGTCAGGCTGGTTAATTTCAAGACATTGTTATATAACGTTATAAAAATTATTTTAAGCAACGTTTCCATTGCGATTGTAGGTCAAATGATTTAATATCAGCCAGGCATAATTAAGATCAGTGATATCTATCGTGAGTTTAGTAAATTTGATTTGCAGAAATGGATAATACCATTGTAGTACATGTGTTATAAATAAATCACGTAGAATAGTCTTAAACTATGTTTCCATTCATTAAATAAAACTGTTTTCATATCTAGTTGTACCTGTGTGCTTATGAATGTAATTGAAGTTGGCAGTACAGATGCCTGTAATTTTCACTCGCATAATTCTTTGTCTCTAGATTATTTTTCCACTCTTGTCGGTGGAATAATCGCCATCGCCAGTGCTAATAGAGTTTAATATCAATTAAGTAAAACTGAATAAAGCGGAGTCGATAGAGGAGATTAGGATCAATTTCGGTCAATTTAAATTCCGCTCTGTATCCACTTCAACAGAGTAGCAATCTCTGTAACACATTAACTTCAGTAGCTAAGTGAGCTCGCATTGGAGTTCGTTATCAATAACGTTGGTATGATCGGCGAGCTCTATGGTGGGATCTCGGTCACCGTCACCGCTTGGGGCAGGAGTCCAGCAGCACGTTGTGCGTCTTCATCTCGCTCCAGGAGACGGCGCGACCCCCCACCCACACCTCGGCTATACAACCCTTGAAGTTCTCCCGTCCACCGTCCGGCAGGTCAGCCGTGCCTTCTGGAAAATAACATGTTTATTTAATACGGTTCTTCGGGATATGCTCCGAGTTTGTTTTTGCATAGTAAACATAATTCTACCTACCACACTCTTATAGGAACGTAAAATACCGTGGCGAATGAAGCCGAAATGAAGGGTAAACATTTTTACTTGCCCACGTTTGGAGCCCCTGTAGGCCCCGTATCACTGATACGGGGGTAGCTACGCCCCTGGTAAAGTTTATGGCTTGTGAGTCAACCAAAATGGCGATTTTTTCGGTCGGTTTCCGGTATCCTCACCCCTGCGCTTCGATCGAGACCCGAAAATGTGCTACTGCGCAATCGCCATTTTTTTATCCCACGACCATCATGGATCTACAGTATTGTGTTTCGTCATTATCAATGCAGAGAAAAAGTTTGCTATTAAGAAAAAGGATAATTTCTACAGGGAGTGTTTTCTTTGTAAACTATCGATACCGAAAGTATCGTTATTGTAACTACACTTGGGGGTAGCCGTCGGGCGTGCTTGCCCAAGGTATCATGACGTCACCTGGTGCGCCGGCCACGTAGAGCAGGCGCGGCGGCGCGGGCGCGGCGTCGTGCAGCAGCGCGGGCGTGAGGCGCGCGGGGGGCAGCCGGTCCACGGACAGCGCGGCGCCGCGCACGCCCGCCACGTGCCAGCGCCCGTCGCACACCGCGCGCGCCCCCGCGCCCCCCGCGCCCTCTTCGCCCCCCGCGCCCCAAGACTCCGCACGCCCCGTCTCCGACCCCTCCGAGTATCGCGTCAACACCACCTGCACCCAGACCACAGCTTTATACCGGATCTATTCCGGCATGTTTACTTTCTAACATTGCAATTACCCAATCAAGAGTACGGGGCGGCACAATTGCAATGTCGATCAAACGCGATTGCGTTCGAGATTAAAGGGGCAGGTATGCAGACGTAACGTCTTTTTATACCCTTCTTTGACCTCCATCGTTCGCTGATTTTCATGATTTCTGACTTTGAGAATTTATTTAAGAGTACTTCTACCCCAAGTTGCTTCTCATGGCTTCCAGCATGTAGAAAACCAGCTCACTTTCACTTTGAATGTTTTTTTTTTTATAAAATTTGTTGTCACTTGGCGTGTATATGTTACGACCTCTGATTAAGTGTGCAATGCAACTGCTCCTCGGACGGCCTGTCGCATACTGGCATACTGTTCTGACTGTTCGAGACACTAGCTGCGTGCGAACGGGGAACATTTAGGTATAGTTGCGCCAGGTTATAGTGGCATAGCAACACTTTTTATTAATTACTATATGCCTAAAATGTTTTTCATATTTGTTTAAACATGCACTTAAATAAATATGTTTTGTTCGTAATGTTAAGTTAAGTACATATGTATGGAACTATAGGTTTATATGTTGTTATGTTTATTTTGCTCATATATGTTTTGTTGTAACTGTTTGTTCCTGAATAAATAAAAAAATAAATAAAAAAAAGTACTTATCAGCTCCGGATTTATGATTTTTTCTAACCGGGGCAGAAACTTAAAGTTTTAGGTTAAAAGCTGAATATCGAGCTTTATGTTACATTTCGTATAGTTACGAGCGCCTATACTAATTATATATTCGGCTCGAAGGACCATTTTAAGAAATAATTAATTTCATCTAACGTGTAGAATCCTTATTATACCACCTATTTGTTACTTAGAAAAAAATAGAGAAAATACCTATAGATTATAGAATATATCATTAGGCTTAATAAAGGATGGATGACAAGAAAAATTTATAAGTAAGTTTTTTAAATTTTAGTCTTCGTGCAGAAACATTTGCGTGCGAATTCAATTCGCTCTTAGTCGGTTTTTTAATCGTGCCTCCTTTATTAGTCACATGCAAAAACAATAATTCTTTAAATTTAATTTAGAAAATGTTTTGACGCTAGTTACCTTTCCATCTCGCAATTCCAGCAGTAACCCTTCAGCGGCGAGCAGTATGCCGCGCGGCGCCGAACTGCGGAATTTAATCCGCACCTCCGCGCTCTCTTCCACACCGTTTACCGCCGCGTACGCATCACCTGTACAATAATAATGTTATGTAATAAATACACCTCTTACAGGAATTTTGTACTTAATAATCTATAGCAGAGTATGTACAATCTCTATAAATCTATAGCAGAGTTTGTACATTGACGTGATTGTACCAATAGTATTTGCCCACAAGCTGATAAAATGTAGGACCAGGGAAAATGTAGTTTTAGTAATACTTTCGCTGTCCATAACATTCCTCAAACAACGTAGGTACATAAAATGGTAAATTCATTTAATGTAAAAAATATCAAAAAATCAAAAATAAATAAATACATTTAGCTTTGAATAAATTAAGCAAAGTTGTCAGTCGAGTGAAGTATGAATACCTGCGAAGTATGCAGCCTGTTCCACGTCGGGGAAGCACTGTCCGACCGCGTGGTGGTCGCGCGCGTCCCGCACCAGGTCCTCGGCGCGGTTGTTGACCGACACGCGCCGCACGCACCCCACGAACCCGCCCACGCGACTGATCTGAACAGGGAAACGATACACTTACCCTACTTTTCACTTACCTTTCGTTTGAAATTTGAATTCCTTATGGATGGTTAAGGAGGGTGGGCCATGTCCCTCCACTCTTTTATGTTATATAAAGGAGTGTACTTTCACAGTTATATAAAAAAGTGCTTCAGCTATGTAAAATATTTAAATAAATGATTGTAGCTAGTTACAGCGGGCGGCAGCATGCGTGCGGCGGGGGGCGGGGGCGCGCCGCCCACGTAGAGGCGGTGCGCGCGCGGCGGGGGGCCCGGCGCCCGCGCCGACTGCGCGCCGCCCGACAGCGCCACGCGGCTGCGCGACAGCGACACAGACACCTGCACACTCGAACGATTAGGCATGGGCCAACTATGTCACATCAGACTAGCTATATAATAAATATGAATTTAGCAATTATTGCTTATAAAAAAAGTAAGAAGCGCTAACTCAATATACAGTCAGAATGACAGTGTTATTTCCGACGGTTAGTGGAACAGTTAGTGGGTAGTATCACTATTACTGGTTTCCTCGTGCTTATACTTATACTGCTGATCTAAGGACCGAGAAAAAAGATGGCGAGATCGAAAGCCAAAAAACGTTTTTAATTAATTAATTGCAAATTATTACGATTAAAACGATTGACGAGACGCTGGGATCGGCTGCTTCGGCAATTATTGCGAAAAATTAAAATTTTATTGTGTCGGACTCACATATTTTCACAATTAATAAAAGAATTACATAACCAGACGAAACTTATATCAATAATGAATAAGAATGACAATTATTTGCGGAATCGTTACAATCTCTGCGTAACAGCTACTCACCGATCTCCAAGTGCCGTCGGCGACGAAAGCGTCCAGAGCGAGTTCTCTTCGCTTGCGTCCGCGCACCACGAGCTTCAATTTGCCGTCTCGGATCATTAGCGCTAAGTAATGCTTCGGTTTTGTCTTTGGACCCTAAAGTGAAAAATAATGGTTATCGTTTGTAAATATTTGCAGTTAAATTCTGAAATGCAGTATGAGTGAGAGTGTGATGTAGTAGTGTATATATAGATGCTAGCAGTAGCAGTCCGCCTGTGCAGAAGGTGCGATACTGTAGCGAGAGTGTAAGTGAGACCGTACTGTAGTGTATATGTGTAATACCGGCGCTAGCAGCAGCAGTCCATCGGTGCGGAAGGTGCGGTACTGTAGCGAGAGCTGCAGCGTGCGAGCGCGCGCCGGCAGCCGCAGCGCCGCGTGACTGTGCGCTGCGTCACCGAACTTAACCGCCCCCGCCTCCACAGTGTACGACGGACTCTGAAAATACGGAACCAATTATTATTTTATTATTATAACACCGTCGACAAAATTGAATCAAATACATTTAGGTATTTATGTTGTGTGTTTTTATTGAAATAATTAATATTTATCTAAATTACATAGTTTACAGTCCTATGTTCCCGTCAAAAATTATTTAGATTGAGCGTTCGATGAGGACACGATTCATCGTGTATTCAACAGTAGATTGTTTCTGGCTCTGAAGATAAGATATTAAAAAGTTAAAATATAACTATTGGAGGTATGTATAATAGGAGCCTGACCTTAGTGCAGGGCGCGGCGTCGTCGGGCGCGGCGTGCAGGGGGCGGGGCGGGTCGGCCCCCGCGCGTGCGCTGTCGCCCCCCTCCGCGCGCCCCAGCTGCGCGCCCGTCCACGCCACCGCCGTCTCGAAGCCCACTATTCTGCAATAACATCGATCGGTAATTACAGAAACTATTTCAATTCAAATTCAATAACATGTCTTATACGTTCGCCCTGCGATTGAAAGATTATTTGTTACCGTAAAAAATGTAATTAATAGCTTCCTATACTTCTATTTTAAGGACTTATCCTCAACCGATGGAATCAAATTTAGTTTAGATGACTTAGTTAGGTTAGTTCAGTTACAACAATTTCAAATCTAGTATATCGGACGGCCCGACATGGCGGGTTAGAAATCTTTAAGCACTCTCGTAATAGGGGTTTCAAACAAAATAGTTCGCTAAGAAGTTTTTACTTACTGAGAATCAACGATGACATCGGCCACGGTGCCAGTGAATCCCGCAGTTGGGAAGGAAGTGTTCACATTGAGCGTAGCGTTGATCCCGCCGACGAACAGTCCCCGCGGGCGCGCGCGCATCGCCCCGCCCGCCAGCGCGCCGTGCGACACGCGCACGTCGTCCACCCACAACTCTAGCTATACGCAATGCCATAAGTACCTCATTAAATCGAACATATTATGCATGTTATTGTATTTGATCAATTTTGCATTTACAATGGTATACTGAAAAATATTCTCAATGAAAAATATTTTAAAAAATCCACTTTGTACTAGCACGGGTAGCATGACGAACTCGAGAACGTTTTGTCTACACTCAAATGTCACTTTTCTCGGGTGCGCTCATACAACTTCTCACTCTCGACCCGAGAAAGTGACATTTTGGTGTAGACAAAGCGTTTCTCGAGTTTGTCATGCTACACGTGCTGGCACTCTGAGATGGGACTCGATTTGTAAAAATATTTCTTTCGGCTGTTTAGGTGGATTACATGAACATAGATGAAATATGTTCTGCAGCAGCGAAAAAGTAACAATTGCTTGAAAAATTCTTCAGTTCTGTTAGATCCGGGGTAGCTCAGTGGTTGGATCAGTCGCCCAGATTGCAAAAGCTCATGGATTCAAGTCCCATCTCAGAGTACCAGCGACAAAGAGGATTATTTAAGATTTGTCGCTTGAATATAACATAAGGTGTTTTAAACTCTTGCAGTATTGCGAATAATATAGTTTAAAGGTTTCTTTTCTTTTGGCTAAATCATTATGCGAGAGCTGATGTTACATCATAATATTTCTTATTAGTATTATTAACATAAAAGATCCGACTTCGACGAAATCATTTTATCTGCGACAAGAAGACGTCTATTTGATACCTGTTTGTGCACCCTGTTCATTCGGACGGTGTGTAATCGGCCGTCATCAAACTTCGTTCCATTTGTGCGCATGCGCAGTTCAGTTTTGCCAGCGGCTGCCACAACTTGTAAATCTCCTGTGGGATATATCCATATTTTCATTTCGATATTTTAGCGCGTATTCTAATGGAAACCAACTGGCAAATAATTTGTAAAAAAATCTGCGAGTTAATTACTATCGTAATTTTCACCTTCGATTAGCATAAGAGCCAAATAATGATTGTCGTGTTCCGGTTCTTCATAATCAGTAGTGTCTGGGGAACGGTACAGCAACAGGCCGGGACTGCGAGCGCGGAAACTAATTCCGATCGCACTTTTACGCTTGAGCGTTGGAGATGCGAGTTCTATGAATCCAGAACCTTCAAGAATGGCTGACCGGATCACCTGGACGAAACATACATTGAGTGATTAGGTAAAAGTTTCCGGGAATATGGTTTTATTATTTGTTCATCATAGATATTCAAAGTTTTATTTCTGCTGACGTCGAATATCGCATTGTTTCGGACAAGATAAATGAGTCGTTTCAAATATTCTCGTGATACTGTTATAATAGATTACCCCATAATTTAAAAAATGAAATTAATATCAAAAAGTTTGTAACGACATTGAAGCAAATTCTCATTGACAAGTGTTATTATAATGTCCAAGAATATTTTGATGACAAATTGTAATATTTTATTGCCGTTGACATAACATGTTTTTCTTTCTTCCTTGACAATTTATCTCTTGACAATTTAACTTTTGTTCTGTTTTGACATCTACATTGTGACATAATTTATAATTTTTAATTCTAAGCATTTGACATTTATTGTACTTAATTGAAAATTACCTGACAATTAACTTTAATTTTATATACTTATGTTTATTTTTAAAATGAAAATTAGGGACGAATGTGAATTAAAATGAAATTTTATGAATGTAAGATATTGAGGAAAGTGAAGATATAGAAGATTTTATTTAAAGCATTTACTATTTACAATGAAATTTTAATTTTAATTTAAATTTGCTACACCCTTACAGGGTGTCATAAACTGTACCTAAACTGTACATAAACTGTACCTAATAATAACACCTGTTTTACTATGTGACATGCAATAAATGAATTATTATTATTATTAAGCTTTTGAGTAGCTCGGTGGCGTAGTGGATAAGGGCCGTGAGCCGGAATCGTTGTCTATAAGCAACTTTGGCAAGGGTCGGTCACGGGTTGGGTGACCAAAAAATAATTATCTCGAACTAGTCCACGCTTCGAAAGGGACGTTAAGCTCGTTGTCCCGGCTGCATTTGCAGGACGTTAATACTCTCCAATCCGCATTGGGCCAGCGTGGAGGGCCATGGCCCATCCTTCTTAACCATCCATAAGGAAGGCCTGAACCCCGGTAGGTGGGCGGAAAAGGGGTGATGATGGATATGAACAGAACGAATTTTTACAAAAGTATATATTGGTCTGATGGATACCCGGTCGTCACAGGTGGGTTCCAATCCATGCCGGGCTGGAGTGTCGAGTAGATTGTACGCATCCCTGTCCAGCGCGAGCGCCCCCAGGCAGCCCAGCAGGGGCGGGGGCGGGGGCGCGGGCAAGGGAGCGCGGGCGCCGGGAGGCCGGCCGCCCACCCAGTAGCGGGCGCCCGCCAGCTCGGGCAGCGCGGCTGCGTCCTGCACGGGGGGCTCCGCGGACCCCAGCGTCTCCGCGCCGTTCACGCGCAGGCTGCCTGGGGACAGGCAACCGCCTCTACACTACCGGCCCTCCACGACTACTACTATTACTACTCTACCCAATGACCATGACCGTCTCGACAAACCTTTTATCTACATCCGAAACTCACATTTCTCGGGTCGAGAGTGAGATATTGTCGATCCGATTAAGACAAATTCGAGTAAAATTCATAATTTTAATATTATATAATAATGCTTAGATTGATAAAAAGTATTGTCGCTATAGTCCATGATTTTCGCGTACTATCTAAATAAATATGTCAAAATTACTTATTAGCCGGATCCACATCAAACACTTCAACGGACTCCTGGTGATAGGTTATGGACGATTCGAGAATATACATTCAGAAATTAAGAGTCACGCGGAAGTCATGTGAATATGAAAAGGTTGCAACAACGACTGCAAAATTCATTTGCGGATCTCATCCGTTGACTATTCTCTACTCTATATGATAGTTATAAGCTACAAGCAGTCTATAATTAAAGACGATTATAAATTTTATGTCGACAAATTTTGTTGTGATATATCATATTTTTTTACAATCCGTTCATAGAGTGAAATGTTTTGAATGATTAATCGTTCTATCAGCACTTTACCTCTCTCCAGCTTGTTGCCGGCGAACACTCTCACCGCCTGCACGTGAGCGAGCTGACCGTCGCAGTGACGACCGCGATCCTCTATCTCCAATCTAGCTGCACTGTATTGGACCAGGAATACGACCCGACACTCGCGCAATATTACTGACACTGAACGATTCTGGAAGTACCCACAAATGATAAGGAAAATATTCCGTGAGGTCTACGTAAACAAATAAATCGAATCGTATAATTCGCCAGTGCCATAGCGTGTAGTGGGTAACTAACATTGTTGGCGTCGAGTGCTGTGAAGAGCAGCGCATGCTGGTCGCGCGTGCGGAACGTGAACGCGACGCTGAAGTGCCGGCGGTCGGCGCGCCGGCCCGCGCGCAGCTCTGCGTACCCGTTGCCGTTGAACCACACCAAGTTCGCGCCACGCCCGCTGCGACGCCATCTATACAAAAGCAGATGCTGATCCACTAGCTGCGTCTGTCTGATCTTAACGATATCGAGAGCTGACGAACGGATTTATCTGTGGTTTTCACTAATCATGATATTTATTTATTTTGGGAAGACCAACAGCTATAACAAATACATAGCGATTAAATAGACTATAGGAAGCCATTTACAGGTCCACACAGATGGTTTACAAACTGGTAAACAAAAAAATCGAATCACAATATATACTCATACTTAATAAATCTGTTCCAAATTAGGGATCACACTTAATTAATCCTTCCATCGATCATTATTATCGATGTAAAAAAAACCATCCACCAATGCACGCCTTGCTTTCTCAAATAAATAGAAATAAATAGGTCGAAATCGAATTCGATACATATTTTATTAAAGCTGTTACATGCACGCCATATAAAGGAATTTTGCCTATAATTAGTATTAACTTGTGGAAGATAAATAAGCGCATTTGATCTTAAGATTTTACGAGGCGGTATAATGGAAATCGAACCTAACAATTGTGGACAATCGACGACATTGGATGTGATCTTAAGCAGGAAGCAGAGGTCAGCAATTAAACGCCTTTGCTCTAGTGGTATGAGATGATGCTTCTTGCAATGGAGCAGGTAATCAGTGGAGGAAAATGGCTCGGACAGTCGGAAACATAGATAACGTAAGTATTTAATCTGAATATTTTCCAATCTAGAAATGTAGGTCGAGTATCTAGGGTTCCAAACCTGCGATGCATATTCTAGATGACTGCGCACATATGAGCAATAAAGGATTTTCAAAGTCTTAGCCTGCTTAAAATCACGAGATACGCGTTTGATAAAGCCTAATGCCTTGTATGCTTCCTATTGATTTGCACAATATGCGTGTATCGCATCGATGTGTTAGTTTACAAATAAATATTTCTTGTAGAATGTAGTATGTAAATGTAGAATGACTATAAATGCTGAAACAGTCTATGTTAAATAGTCAAGCTACCCACCAGAGACAAAAAACGACGTTAAAGTAGGAACGCGATCAAAGCTAAGTAAAATAATTCTATTTTCGTAAAGATATAAAGCTCTGGAGTAGGCAAAACAAAATTATGATAAGATATGAAAAGCATACCTCTGCGCACAGCCCGTACAGTGCGCATTAGACGGCTGATGTCGGAAGTTCCACAGGCCCAGTGTGGTGTCGTCGTAGTGCAGCGCGTGCACGCAGGCCGGAAGCCCGCCGCCCCCGCCCCCGTCCCCTTCCCTGCCCAGCCACAGTGTGTCGGGCGCCAGGCGGGTGGCGGCGGGGTCGCTGCTGTTGCTCACAGTCATCGCGCCGATGCCGTCCAGCCGCTCTACACGCAAATGGACCGTATTCCATATCCTGTTCCATCACAAATAAATATTAAACAAAATCACACAGATCGCTCAAATTCTAAAGACCAGATTCCGATCTGAGACAGTATAGAAAAGTTCATTTTCTATGTTGATCCGACCAAGAGTCGCACCTAGACCCTCTGAGGCCATCTTGAATCTTAAATTTTGAAACCGCCGTAAGAGCTCCGGAGCCGAAGATTCCTCGATAACCCAGTGATTAAGGCGTTCGGTCTTATAAACGAAGGTTTAGCAAAATTCGCAAGGGTCGGAGAACTTGCTTAGGAAATCACGTTAAGTCATCGGTCCTGGTTCAACAACACCTAGCAATCTGAACTGAATCTGCGTGAGTTATGAGTTGAATCTGCGTGAGTTATGAGGTGAGTAATGTGCTGATCGCTCTGTAATAAACTGATAGTGAAGTTGCTTTCAACTAACTTTGAAGCTCTGAGAAATTTAACATACCTATATCTTATATTAGACAAAAGTCACCAGAAATCTGCTTCAGGTGGACCAGGTGTTGCTGGTCTCTTTGCTTGTCATTTTTCATCAGTTTACGATAAACATCACTTACTAGGTGATCCAGACACAATTAATGGTTTTGACTACTTCCCTGACTCTTCTAACCTCCATCAAATTACAATAGACGAAAAAACTGTGCTTAAGCATTTAAAGAATCTTGATCCCAATAAAGCTGCGAGGCCTGACGGTATCCCTCCACTCTTTGCGAAAAAATGTGCACGATATTTATCATATCCACTAAAGGAAATTTTTAATAAATCACTGTCCTCTGGAAAATTTCCCACTGTTTGGAAAAGTGCTCGAGTGACACCCGTACATAAGAAAGGTGATCACGACAATGTAAAAAATTATAGGCCTATATCCCTTCTTTCGACGTTTTCGAAGGTCTTTGAGGCTGTCGTCTGTCCGGTTATAGTCAGTCATACAAAAAAACAGATAGTTAGCGAGCAACATGGTTTTCAGAGTGGAAAGTCTGTGGTCACAAACCTTTCTTCTTACATGACTCGGGTTATGGAATCGGTGGATAGGGGTGAGCAGGTTGATGCCGTTTACACCGACTTTACGAGTGCGTTTGATCTGGTAAATCATGATATTCTTATTTACAAGTTATATCACCAGTATGGGATTTGTGGGACATTGCAGAATTGGTTTAGATCTTATCTCGAACATCGAAAACAAACAGTTATAATCAGAGGCTACGAGTCTCAAGTGTACACGGCATCTTCGGGTGTACCGCAGGGTTCGCATCTGGGACCTATATTATTCCTTCTTTTCATCAATGACATCGTTTCCTGTGTTTTTCATAGTCAGTGTTCGTTGTTTGCTGATGATATGAAGATTTTCCGGACTATTGAAAAATCGGACGACGCTGAATTACTGCAGTCTGACTTAGACCGAATTCAGATCTGGTGTGGCAAAAACCATTTATCTCTAAATGCGTCAAAATGCAAACATATAACCTTTTCAAAAAAAAAGATAAACACTGTCAATTCGGCTTACAGAATAGGTTGTGATGTTATTGATACAGTTTCTCAGGTCCGTGATCTGGGCGTTGTATTAGATTGTCGGTTATCTTTCATTCCTCACTATAACACCATTGTTTCGAAGGCAGCTAAAACGTTGGGGTTTATTAGACGCAATACTAAGACATTTCGCCGAACGGACTGTAAAATCCTACTATTTAATACTTTGGTGCGTAGTTCATTAGAGTTTGCAAGCGTTATATGGAATCCTATATATGAGGTACACTCAACTCGTTTAGAGTCTATTCAACGGTCTTTTACTAGACACTTGGCACATGTAACTCCTAGTCTCAACAGAAGGTGTCCCTATGAGGACAGACTCAGTTATTTTTCGATGGATACTTTAGCTCATCGTAGGCGGATGTTGGATCTAACATTTTTACATAAGGCCTTTAATGGTGGGTTGAGGTGCCAAGAGGTGCTGGATCAGACCAACATAAGTGTACCGCGTATAAATTCTCGTCGCCCGACTTCAAGGTCCTTCTTTAGTGTTCCAGTAAGTAGAACCAATGTGGGTAGATGTGCCCCTGTGCCAAGGCTGTTAAGCTCGTATAATAGTTGGCATAGAATTTTTGATCTCGATATCTTCCACGACAGTTTTCGACACTATAAAGACAAAATACTGCATACACATCGTCCTTAAAGTAAAGAATTAATGTTTTATTTTAATTTTAATTTATTGATAATAACATATAAGCTGATTATTTTTGACATTGGATATATAATAATTGACTTTTGAATTTAATTTGTTATTTGTTGTTTTGTAATGTGTATCACTGTTGTATTTTTGTAGTATAATATATTAATTGACGCCTATGTCTTGTAACTGTAGTTTATTATTATGTAGTTATAATTGTAATTGTGTTGTATAATTGTATTGTATTGTATATAACTATAATTGTATTATAGCTAAATAAATATTGAAATGTAAACGCATATGGATATCTTAATACAAATGCTGTGCATGTCTGTAATTGTCATAAATGCTAGATAAGTGTCATTTAAAAGGTTTACTGATTATTTTTGTATTTGTGATGTTGACGTGCCTTGAGTAAATAAATAAATAAATAAATAGTTTCAGCTAGCTTCTACAACAAAGCAACTTCCGTTTACAGCTAAACTCACAGAAAGAATCTTTGTTATATTCATTATTAAATGGTTATATATAAATAAGAATATACCTACATATATTTAATATACATAATATACACTTTAAGCTGACCTTTCAATTTCCACACGGTACGCGGTGGCATCAGCGTCATCATGTGCGGGATGCAGAACCTCAGGGTGAGTGATGGATGCCTCACCCGCACCCAAGTCCCAAGTTAATCGCAGTAGTTTCCTCTCTACAGATAACTTCATATATTTTTCCTTTTCCTACAAAACACATATTGTGCCGTTTAAGGGACATTTGAACTTATTATAATATTTATTTGCTATCTCTACATAACTAGATGTAAAAACAGAAAAAGAAAATTTTCTGGGTCTTCGAGCAGATTAAACCTATTTTTTTTTAATTATAGTGTTAGGGAAATTTTTGAATTAAATATTATATTCTAATTTATGTTACAGTAGTAAAGAAAATTCTTCAAGAGATAAAGACTTCTTTGTCGCCACACAAGGCAAAAAAATAATATGGTGAATCGTTGGGGTATGACTGAAAGTTGGGGTATGGAATCGCCAGTTATAGAATATTACTTCTGGTGTGTATGTAGGAGTGGGTTACCTGCGTGTTGTCAGTGAGGTAGAGCAGCGGCCCGTCTCGTACGACAGCGAACGAGAAGGCAGTTGATAACCGTGTTGTAGACGGAGATGTACTCGGTAGGGAATAAGCGCGCGAACATCCTGCTGGGGTCCCTTCCATTGACGTCAATGATACTGCTATCTGTACGTAAATAGAATAAGTCTGTGTTTACTTGAGTTTGGAAAGGGATCAGCGGCATAATAGTTCTATCGTAAAGTCTGGTTATGAGACGATCTGGATATGAATTCCATTGGGTTTTGGAAAGGAAACAGCTTGAAAAAACCATCAGTTGAGAATCTGCATCTGCAGACGTTAAAACCCATAAATTCACACTAGTCTTAGGGATGGTGGGTGATCCGGTTTATATGGTTCGATGGTCTGTTCCCTGTAGGTACATTACTGGCCTTCTGGTCTGCTTTAATCTTCTGCTTGTTTTGAAGTATATGAACATGATTTATCCAGACTCCGGGGTCTCCATAATTATTTTCCCTGGACACGTTTACTTTAGATAGATGATGACAAACTATTGGTAGTATCGTTACTCCAATTATAGTTTTAAAAAGTCTTTTCATTTAAAGGTTGGTAGTAGTATATTTATTTATCATCGCGATTGTGTGGCGGTATGAATAAGCACACGTGCTGGTAGTTTCATGGCATTTCTGCTCCGTGCGCATACTGACCGAGTGCGCGGCGTGCCTGGCGCGCGCGATCTTGTCCCTGAGGTTGTGCAGCGCGGGGCGGAGCGTGACGTCAGCGGCGGAGTGTTCCCGCGCGCGCGCCGCCGCCGCGCCCGCCAGCGACTCCGCCAACTCCGCACCACGCAGCGTGTTGCCGCGGATTTGAGACACTGTAACCGAATAGATTTTTTGCAAGGCGTGTCGATTCTACTGCGCACTAAAATGGAAAGAAGAGCAACTGGACCATTTTATAAAGACATGCGCGTTACCCACAGATACATCGGTAGGTTTTTCTTATTTGGTTCCATCTATCGGGCAGGCCTATGCCCCGGCAGTGAAGACGCTGATAAGCTAACGATTATGAAAGGTGGATGCTTACTGGTAGATTTTTAAGTAAGATAAGTGTAAGAATCCAGTACAGCAGGCCAGTGTTCATACAGTACCTTCGGACTACATGAGTGAAGCCGCGGGTTACAGCTTGTATTATATAAACACAATAACATTTGAAAGCTAGGTTTAGATAACATCTAAACCTGATGTTTGAAAAAAAATTATTTAAAATAATCGACTGAATTATTTTAAAAGCTGAAAGCACTTTTTTCTTTAAGATATTTGTGAAATGGTTTGTATAAAGCGTTAACTGGCTAACCGTGTTCCTGCGCGGCGCCCAGCTGCGTGTCCCCGTGCCGCTGCAGGTCCGCCAACTTCCGGCGCAGCGAGTACCGCGCGCGGCGGCGCAGCTCGGCGGCGTCGTCGTACAGCGCGCGCATGGTGCCGAAGACGGTGTCGGCGCGCGCGCCCGCCTCCCGCAGCGCGGCGGCCACGTGCGCGCGCGGCCGCCCGCCCAGCGCGCGCTCGCCCCACCCCAGCGCACGCAGCGACACGCCCACCACGTCACCGGCGCGGCGCAGCGACTCCAGCCGGTTGCGCAGCTCTGCGTCGTCATTAGATACACCATTTTTAAGTAGAACGTCGCGGTTTTATGTTGTTTTATTTTTAATATACGAACTTTTTTAATAGATACATATTTTGTCTGTCATTTTGAAATTAAATTAAAAGGATTTCGGAGGCTACAAAAATAACGAGAAAGTAAAAATAACAAATTGAAACATTACTGAAATTTACTACTTTCTTACAGCCTATTTTTATGAATAAAAAAAAAAACAAAGAGCCTTAACGTTCTGCAAAATACTTAAGTCGATGGAATCGCTCAAAGTATATATTTACAAAAATTAAACTTTCATTTTAGTTTCATGATTCCGTGAATAGGTGATGTTGCAATCGATCGGCAACAACAGTATCAATTATAGAAGTGCATAATACCCTCCGATTCGGCGAGGAGATCAGCAGCTCTCTTTTCAAGGTCAGCGGATGTGGCGGCGCGCGGCACAGAGTCCGCAGTGAAGGTGGCAGCGGCGGCAGTGGCAGACGCGGCGGCGGCGGCGGCGGCGGCAGCGGCGTCCCGCACCGCGTCCGCCACCGCGCCCCACGCGTGCGCCGCCGATACGCCCAGGGACGCCGCCTCCCGCGCGCCAGAGAACACTCTGGACAAAACTGATTATTACTACATACTGATTATTTCAGAGTGAATATTGGTCAGTCTTAAAGGAAAACTAGGCTGTAAAATTCAATCACCGCTCACCTCTTGTAGCGCTTCGCCTCCTCGGTGAGATATGCGACGTGTTTCTCGACCGGTTCCAAATATTTGAGACGGTACTGCGGCGTCAGATTGTAGAGGATGCCCTCTTTCTCCTCGGCGGCTAGCGTGAGCACCGCCAGTTCGGCCACCGCACTCGGGAACCGAATAGCGAGGGATTGAGCACGGAGGAGAGATGAACTCACTTCGTCCGTCAAGTTTTTAGGAGATAATGATGTTATGTCCTGAAATATTTCAATATATCAGCACGTTTACACATATCAATACAGGTGTCGACAGTATTCTTTTTGATTGTATTTAATATTCGATTACCGATAGTTACATTCTTTTTTGTATTATGAAAAAACAAATATTCAATATTAGTTGACACATGACCGACCATCACGCCCCTTTTACTCCTATCAGAACTTAGAGAATTAAACCTTATGCATACAAATAATGATATTTAATTTTAGATAAGTGTGATACCATAGCGATGCCATGATAGAAGTTGGCGTTTTCACGCAAAACTTTGAAAATTAAATTTATTTTCAGATTTTAACTTATTATATAAATGAAACTTTTTTATATACTTAGTCTGGCCATAAATACACTTAGATTAAAAATAAACAAAATATTACTTTTGGATTTCGAATGTATTAAGTTTATATGATTGTTCGTTATATTATAATGGATTACATTACTTAATCTGGCCATCAATGCAGTGTTTGTACGAAAAAGGCAATGAAAGCAGTGAAGGAAAGAATTCGAAGAAATCCTGTCCGAAACAAAAAAAAATATCTCGGGAGATGAAGATAACACCTAGAACCATGTCGCGCATTTTTAAATATGATTAAGGACTTGTCGAGCCTATAAGAGCTACACGATTATTCAAAAGAGTACAATGTGGGCATTATTCGACTTCAGTGATGGTTTGGTGATATATGAAGAAGTGATCGAGACACATTTTGTGAAAAAGGCATCAAAATATCGGCATAAGTGTATAAAGATAGTATTCTCGAGAGGGTAGTTAAACCGCTTAACAACATCATGTTTAATAACCAAGAATAGTCCTTTCAGCAAGACTCGGCGCCAGGTCATAAAAGCTCGATCCACCCAATGTTGGTTAGAAACGAACGTTCCGGACTTCATCAGGGCTCAAGACTGGCTGTCGTCTAGTCCAGATCTTAACCCGCTGGATTACGGTTTATGGTCACTTTTAGATAGTAAGTTTCGCTCTAAAGATATGATAATTTGGAGTCCCTAAAACAATTCATACGATTGGCAGTTATGGATTTTCCCATGGAAAGAGTGCGTGCGTCTATTGATAACTGGCCTCAACCACCGTTTAAAGAACTGTATTGCAATCAATGGGGATGGAGAATGGAGACCACATATACATGTAATATTATAAGAATATAAAAAAATTGTCTACATCCGTATTTTATCTGTTAAAGATTTTACCAAAGCTGTCAAGTTCCAATATGGATTCGTCTCAAGAGTCTATTTTCGCCCTTAAGGGGTCAATTAATAAATAGCAATTTATCGTTTCATTGGATTTATCTGAACTTATGATCAGATTGACTAGAGTAAGTATATGCATATTATCGTTAATGTGATCCAAACCTCAAGCATCAATCTGCAACGAAGCGCTGTGTCTCTCAGAGCAGAGAGTTTAGGTTTGACTGTCTTCTCGATAGCTGCCACCTGGTCTCCCGCGCTCCAAACTACGTTCCCTAGCCGCTGCAGATCTTCAGACTTCTTTTCCCACTGTTCTAGAGCATCTTTCAGCTGCAATACTCGTCTTTGGGTGTCTTCTAAACGGTAATCGTACTCTTGCACGGCTGTTGATTGTAGTGTCGCCTGTTTAAACATGCCATAACTTACAAATTCTAAATTTACTTCAAAAAAATTGCCAATTGATAAAGTAGTAATTTATAGATATACTGTGTACGAGCAAACCCGTACATTTTTATATGTATCAATAATATGCTAACGTCGGCGCTGCGCGCAACTCGACACACGTTTAATAAATGTTAATATAACTTAGTAGCAATAAATTACTCATTCGAACAACACGGTTTTATCATTTTATCATATCAATTATTTTCCGGGACAGTTTCGGGAACTCATCATATCAGTAACAATCATCTAAAGGTGTCTCCAACATACTGATATTAAAAATATTTCTAAGTAATAAATTATATGAAGTTATGAAATTATCACACAGTAGATTAGATCAACAAGAGCAAGAATGTGAAATCGGGGAATATGTTGGTGATTATTCATGTATAAACTCTTTGTTTAGATGGTAGAGGCCAGGTCGTAGGTTTGGTACAGGTAAACATTTTGAGTCGATTTGGGCTAGGTAGAAAACTAAATTTTGCACATGGTATCAGCGTCTTAAGTCTATATTTATTTTAAGCCACAAATAAAAACTCACCGAATCAAAAACATCGTTAGCTCCTCCTAAGAAATCGGAAACCTTAATATCCTTTATTTGTTTGAGTAAATGTTTGGCTTCCTTTAATGCTTTTCGCGCTGATAAATGTTTATCGCCAAACGTGAATTCACCCAAAGCCGCCACTTCTTCGGCCAGCCGTCTTCTCTGTTTCAACACTTCTTCCAACCCACTCATGCTCTCTAGACTCAAGTAATGCGCATGTTTTTCTATAGTAGAAGCTTCAGTTTTAAGTCTGTAGGCTTCAGTGAATATTTTATGTTCTTTCTCCTCTAAATCATGGATAGTGCGCGTGAGGATTTTCGTGTCGACCACGTCTCTGCTGAGAGATTCTAAGGTGGAGCTCAGTAGGGAGGTATTATGTTTGAATTCCAGCAACGCCGGGTACGGTTTAGGTATTCGACTCAGTTCGGTGGGATCAGCTCTAGTGCGTAGGTCAAGATTTAACTCTTCCACAGAGTCGAGGAGAGTTTGGGTGCAATTATCGCATGCTAAAACGAAACAAACGTTTAAGTGGTTATTGTTTTGAATATGAGAACTGAAATGGTTATTGTTGATAAAATTTATGAAGCTGCCGTTCAGGCTGGCTGGAGTTATGTTTAACTTAGGTTATATATAATTATTCAACAAGCTAATATACTAAATAATTCCAATTCATCAAATCAAAGAATGTGATCCATCAACATATTTAAAATATTTACAAACGAACTATATAGCTATAGGATGTGGGGTTGAATTCAACAAATTTGTATTATATAGCTTTGTGATCACTAAATGAAGCAAAGTGCATCAGGTACTCACGCCTGCAGTCAGCAGCGGCGTGCAGATAGGTGCGGGGCGCGGCGCAGCGGTCGCAGCGCGAGCCGGCGGCGGCGGGGCGGCAGCGGCAGCGGCCCGCGGGGTCGCACGCGGGCCCCAGCGCCCCGCGCGGGTCGCACCCGCACTCCACGCATGACCCGCCCGCGCCCCGGTACCAGCCCATCGCGCAACGCTCGCACTCCGACCCTGTGTACCCTGCGCGATCGAACAATTACACTTTAGACACCTCGCGATTCTCTTGCTCGCTGCGTAAATTTGAAATTAAATAGGTAATTTTCTTAATGGAAATTTAAGCGAAAGCAAAAACTGTGCTCACGATCACATAATAATCAGGGACCGCTGCTCGATTTCAAATAGATGCCATTTGCATAATACTAAACGGCTTTCCGGTCGATCCTATGTGACCAGTCGGCATGATTACTAGTCGGACATTTCGATGTTCGTTATTTAACGTCAGGCATGAATCTTGTAAAATAAAGATATGTCGTTCATAACTTAAGTACTCATTTGGCCTGTTGAGGAAAATTGCACAAAATAATTCTAGGATATATACTGCATTGAAGCATGTCCTGACCTGGTTTGCAGAGGCAGTGCAGTCGTCCGGCGGCGAGCGTGCAGGCGGCGGCGTAGTTGTGGGCGCGAGAGGGGCAGGGGCAGGCGCTGCAGCCCGCCCCGGGGCTGCCGTAGTACCCCTCCGCGCACGTAGCACAACGCGGTCCCCCCGTGCCACCCGTGCAGTTCTATCACACATCCGATAGATGTAATCTTTATCATCGTCATCAGACTTCCATAGGGATGGAATCGAATAGATAGAATCATGATCCATCGGGCCGTGGAGCCCCGATGTATCATGGGCGATAATGATTTCAGATGCAACCGGGGCTTGATGTGCCTTTTGAAGCATGGAAGAACCCGAGATAATAAATTTCTGGTCATTGCTAAATCAATATCATTGCCATTAAAATACGTAAAGTGCAAAAGTTATAAATTACGTCTTCTTACATTCCTCGAGCACATGCAATCGAGTGAGACAAAGCAATAAGATTCAAATTTGTCTACACGAATTGATTAAGGTGTGCTGCATCAATAAAATTAACAAGTAGATGTAGAGCTTCAATTACTTTACGTATCCGTTCCAATAAAAATGAAAATGAGGTCAGTCTCTAAAAGCACTCACCAGACAATCCCCCGTCTTGGGATCGCAAGCGACCGCCCTCCCATTACACTCGCAGGGGCGGGCGGTGGCGTCCACCTGGATGAGTATGGTGCCGGCGGCGGCGACGAGCCGCAGCGTGGGCGCGGGCATCCAGAACCCGACGGCCGCCTCCTGGCACGAGGGCGCCGCGTACTCGCGCCCGCACGCGCACGCCTCCACGCCCAGCGCCGGCGCCGACCGGCTCGCGCCCGGGATGGCTGTGTCCAACGACACGTTCAGCAGTCTAGTGTCAACGGTCACACATTTAACACCTATACCCTTCATGATCAACAAAATATAACCGTTATTCAGTTACACATGACTCTTTTCACGTTGTCCCAATATGAGTTTTAACTCGAGTAACAAAAGAGAAAATGTTCTTTACATACAAGAAAAAGATAAATTGCAGTATGAGCCTAGACACGATTTGTGAGTCCTATCCTATTCATTTTTACCTACTATGTAAAAATTAAGAGTTTAAAAACGGATGAGTATACGCAATGTTAGAAGTTAATCTGCAACAGCCCGGTCAGAGTTTAACCAAAAGAGGTAGTTTTATCGGTAATAGTTCACTACCTACTTTTCCATTACTACATCTAAAGTAAAATGTTGCTATTAAAGGCACCTACTCATGAACCGTGTCTCGACCTATATAAATATCGTGTGAACCTAGCTTCAGTACTGACAGCGCGTGTACGTGGTCGCGTGCGGTTGGCGCGCGCGAAGTGACCCTCAGCAGTAGTCGGTCCACGCGCTGAAGCGCCGCCATCAACACGGGCCGAGTCGCCACCAGCGAGGGCCGACTGCCCACCAGCCCGGGCCCGCGCAACATCCACAACGACTCGTGAAAGCGGACCGCGTACGTCCCATTCTTGGCTGGCTGTAGCTACATATAAGATGGCAATAGATTATCTAGAGAACTAATATAATACGCATACTTGCGTAAAACGTAACTAGACCCCCTAATTCAAGTAGGGTTCGGCGAAAGCTCCTTTCATTTTATTGTCTTCATTTTGATATAAACAGAAATGGCAGGAAATTTTCTTTATGTTTTAATTTGTTATATTACGGATCAAGTTGATAACGAACTCATGCATTCTAAACTTTTCTTTCGGTTCTGAGTTAGCAAAGAAGCCTTAGGGTAAAATACCAATAAAATATTATGGCAATGACCACTATATTTGGAACAAAACAATTATTTTGAAATTGCGATAGCAATAACTCTAAACACAACGACCCCGTCGACTGTCTCACCTGATAATGATTGAGTTCAATCCCGTTTCCTTCGAGTCTCACTAGCGGGAAAGCTGCCAATCTCTGCGGGGTCAATTCCTCGCCCCCTTCTTCCTCTACCGTGAACCGAAGCGCTCCCCCGTATGACGTCACCCGGTCCCCCAGGAAACGCTTGTCAAGGTCTACGTATACAGGGAGCGGGGGATACGGCACGGCTATTGTGGAGTCAGCCCTTTCGATCGGAATAGCTATTGGCGAGTTTTCGTCTACCTACAATTTCAAAAACGCTGGGGATAGTCATATAGAATATTTTCTTTATTTGTTTTCAGACTCGTGAGCAAATAATATTAGAACATCTGAGCTCGAATAGAACACAAAATGCAAACTTATTTTTCACACCATCTATGATCAATTAGCGTTCGCTTTAAGTACGCTAAAATCAATTTAAAGTAAGGCCCTGTCAATGAGAATAGTGGTTCACTGACCGACATGTTCCTCGGCGCTGGTACGACGGTGACGTGGTGCGCGCTGGCGGCGTGCAGCGCGGCGCGCGTGACGGCGGCCTGCGTGCAGTGCGCCGCGCGACCGAAGCAGAAGCACGCCGTACAACCTGACGGGTTGTCCGCGGACAGACCGAATGTACCGTCTAGACACTCGTCACATTTATCGCCTACCACATTCTCCTATGAAAAGTCAGACAACAGGGAATAAGAATAGGAAAAAAAGTGTATTAATTCCAAGAACGAAACGAATTTAAAGAAGTTTTTAATGCATACAGTTATAAGTAATAAATAATAACGATTAAAGCAAATATAATAAAATACACTTCTAAAATATACTTTTTTATTTATGTATTAAGTTAATTATAATATAAATATAGCCGTTTAAAGAAATATAGTCAGGTCTATGTGAAGGTGCTTCAGTTTTTGTCACTTTCGTGGTTGCAAATTTTATTTTTGTCATTGACAACATACAATTTATTGACAACATATATTCATTATACAAAAATGTTCTTTCTTAGTCAAATTAATAACTACCTTACCTTACAAGGACACCTGCCCTCATCGTCACACGAACACACGCCATCCTGACAGTCCCTAGTGCCCGCTTCATCACATAGACAGGGCCGGCATCGTGGTCCGAAGTGGCCCGGGGCGCACCGGTCACATTCGGCGCCCACCCAACCCGCCTTGCACTTGCATTGGCCCGTTTGTGGATCGCATTGGTCTGTTAAGAAGAGATGCAGAATTCTCATAATAATTAGAAATATTTTTTGAAAAGCACATTTAGCAAACGATTAGTTCTTATTACAAAATAATAATTATCAAAACGATTCATAGACCATAACTGTACTATCTCTCTATACTTTGCTCTATGGTGTACTCACTGGACATAGCGCCGGCTCCACACCTACATGGACTGCATCCAGCAGGGCCGGAGTGGTAGCCCGGGGCGCAGTACTTGCAACCTGGGCCCCGCGACCGCGGTGGGCACACACACCGTCCGCTCTCCGCGGAACATATCTTGCCATCAGTGCACTTCGGACATGCTGCAAGTACGAATTGAGATAAATTCAGTTCATTTATATTTATTTGTTGGTAATGAATTGAAATTATAAGATTATTCAAAATACTGACAATAGATTTAAAGAGAAATTTGTCTCACTCTCATGTCACAGCTTATACTGTGTTGGAGTAGGTTTTGACAAATTGCTTGCTTGTAAATTGGTTTAGCACATCTAAACACTGTGGTATAAGCATAAGGTGTATTGTCACATTTTTTTTTGTAATACTAACGCAAGCAGCCAGCAGGTCCGAATCCGTAGTATCCTGGAAGGCATGTGTCACACTGTGTGCCACCCACGCCAATCGAGCAAGCGCACAGACCAGTGTGGGGGTCGCACGCAGCTGCGCCCGCGCCGCACTCGCACCGTCTGCAACCGCCCTGTTGTAAGCCCCAGTAACCTTCCTGCAACCATCATTATTACCATCAAACTATTAATATTCCCACTGTTGGGCATAGGCTTTCTTTATGGACATTATTGCCACACTCAGCACGGATTGATAGGTGTTATTTAAGTAAGTGATTAGACAGGCATGGGAGCTTTAATTTATTATTGAAAGAGCTTTAATGACTTCGATAGTCGCATGGCTGGCATGCTGGTGTCAAGTTCCATCTGAGTGGTTCTGGATCTGCCTGGAGTGTGAGTGTTTTATCTTCGTTGTTTCAGATTTACATAATATTTCAATGGTAAAGGCTTAAGCTATATACGTACTTGATTTCTTAGGTCTCTAAGCTATATATATAGGTGTACTAGCTTTTGCCCACGTCCTCGTAAAGTAAAGCGTAAAGTTACTTTGAGCAGCATTTCTAACGTATATTTATTCATTATATCGTGTAAAATACCTGAAATAAAGTTTCATCCCCTATTTTATCCACTTGGGGGTAGATTTGATCAAAATTCTTTCCATGGGATGCTTACGTCATAGTAACTTTATGCATGCAAAGTCTCAGCCCGATCGGTTTAAAATCGACAAAGTTTCATACAGATTTTAATTTCCTATTTTATTCCCTTGGGGGTAGAATTGACCAAAATCCTTTCTTAGCGGATGCCTACGTCATAACATCTTCCTGCACGCCAAATTTCAGCCCGATCCGTCCAGTGGGTTGGGCTATGCGTTGATAGATCACTTTGTCAGTCAGTCACTTTTGAGTTATGTATATTTAGATAGATTGTCTCATATCACATTTATAGATATAAAAAGTGCTTTTCGACGAAATTTTTATTCAGTTAACAAGAATATGCGAAACTTATCGACATTATCAATATTAATACCTAACCTAACTAGGTTAGTTGGTCTCTTAGCAATATATAGGTATAATGTAACTACATTTAAGGAGTTTTTAAATCCCAATTTATTCAAAAATTATAGAATACCGATTAAGATAAACATCACAAAGATAAATATTGTGAAGCTAAATGAATCATGGTGTCAAGTCTTGCACATAAATCATGTAAAAATATACAAGCCTCAGCCGCGGCTGCGGGCATCATGTAAAATTATGCAAGCCCCAGACATTTTCCTGCAAGAACAACATTTATCACGAGTCATACGATTTATAGAGGGAATAAACGGATAACTTGAAATCTGAAGCCAGCAGCGACTAGAAATGATGTTATCCCATTTAATACAAATGGTCCATGGGAAGAATTGCCTAACGTGTTTGTTTACCCCTGTCTGCTGCCGGATAACCAAGACTTGCTTCACTTATATTAGGTATAAATGTTGTGAGATCATTAGCTAATTAGCTAACTTGCTTAAAAACTGAGGGCCTACTCAGTTAACCACAAGCGAAATTTCAAAAAAAATCTTGAATTGAAATATACAAAAATCATATCATATGATTGTCTGCGTATCAGACGTCGTGTAAGGTCCTACCTTTGTTATATTATAAATTATCGAATACTTCTTTTCTTTGGAATTATATGGTTGTAAGCTTGTAATAATAATTAAATAAATATTAGTCTTTACAAAATAGGTGAAATTTTGTTTTCGGAGAAACGGACTAAGCCTTCAGGAGCGATCGAGTTGAACCTTGGTACACTATGTTATTCAATGACCCAGAGACAGACACCGTTTTACAAACCATATCATGTAACATATCAAATACTACTTGTTTTTTTTTCCATAGGGCTTTTAGGCCTTATATCGTTTAATAAAAGCGAAAAAGAATTCAAGAAACTTAATTGAATTTGAGCAAGAGCTTGTTCAAATTTTAACCGTCGGTCTTCAAATTAAGCTTTGTCTCTTCCTTTTTAGATGTCGATTAAAAAGAGCAGGTCTAGATCGGCAGCTTTCGCATTAAATCTGTTCACTATTCAGTAAACATTTGAAAAAAACGATTAGATTTACTATTTAGAGCAATCGATATTGATTCACGTAATTGTTATTTATTAATGTAATTCACGATTTTGTGACATTTGCCATGTCCCGTTTATAATGAACAACAATTATCAAAATGGTGTCCAGACAAAATTTAAAGCAGCCTTAAATATTCCCCTACAATTCACATTCCATTATGTCGTCGTAAATTGGCGTACTGTCACATCGAATAAGCACAGCATATGCTGCAATAGAATATTCGTGCAACGTTCTGCAACGTAAACATGTTCTGCTGTCATACACAGCACAGAAATTTCATTCCAAATTCCAATTATTTACTAACAAGTAGTTTAAGTTGGTGCTCGGACTAATTTATTTTATAGAGCTAAACCAAAATCCAAAACAAACACACATGAATACACTCGCTGTATAGTGTAGAAACAAAACTTTCCTTCTTCTAATAAAGGCAGATAAATTATTATAAACTTTCAATTCGAATAATTCATTTCCTTAACGAGCACTAGATCAGTTTCTATCAATCAATGGGAAATAGGTACAGTAAGGCGTGACTCCGTCTCAGACCTCGATGCATTGATTTAGTGTGTATCTCAACAATACCGTTGCACTGCATGCACATAAAACATAAGTTTAATGATGACAATTGTTCTTTCTGCTTTCAATAGGAAGTTATATTTCAAATGAGTTGGAGACGAAGCGCGTAGCGATCGTGCACTACTTTTAACAGTCATACTTAAATCAGTTTTGCCAATTACAGTGATATATATATCAATGTAAAAATTAAAATTTTACATTTTTTTGCCATGAGAAAAGTATTTTTAATTATTTTTCGAATTTTATTCTTATAAAAATCAAATATATTAAGGGGCATAATACATTTTGACCGTGATTTTCGGTTAAAATGGTCAATTTTGGCGTTCTTGATCTCGGAGTCCATATATAACTTACTTAGATAGACTTTTAGAATGGCACCGATAACTATTAGCATAGTTTGTAGCAGTTTCGCTTTGTAAATGCTTTACTTTTAATTAAACACAAAATTATAGATTTTTTTTATAAAATGCGCGACGGCACTTTTTTGCGTTTCTACATTGAGATACTGGTCTAAACAAATTAAATAATAAAAAAATATATTCTTATATCTCATATGTATAGTCGTATAGTTCGCAGTGGCCTCGAAATTTTGAATATGTATAATTAATTATTTATACAATAAACTTATTATTAACTTAAAATCTTCGATATAATTTAACTGTGAATTTCTTCTATATACGTAAACATTATTGGACAAAATTTGTACAAGGAATAAAGACTTCATATTTTTAGGCACAAATTGATTATTCTATAAAAACGATAAATATAACTGCAAAATGATATTTATAGTTTTTATTTTACACCAGCCATCAGAATTTAATTTGTATGGCCGCGCAGTCAGTTCGTTTGTGTTTATAATAAGACTCTTAATATTTTTGGCTAGAAATCACATTTGACTTTATTACACTTAAGTATAGTCTAAATTCATCGGAATATAATCGTAATACAGTACATGTTAGCGGTTGAACGTTTTGCTTTCTACTGTCAAACTATTAAGCTTAAATATAGGTAGGTGAAAAACCTAACTATCGAAATTTTTATCGCGTTAATACCCGTCTTATACAATCTAATATTAAGCTAGCCACTAAAAACAATATACCTAAAATTTTTCTGATGGAAATTCTCAGAATTGGTAACATTGCCATAAAATCTTCTACATAATACCAAAAATATTAGTTATACGACTAAAACGAACATAACTATTGAAGGTTAATAGAATCAATATTGTCAATATAGTTTCATAACGGGATTCGTTGGCATTTAATGGTAGACATAAACAGTTAGTTCGCGAGCGCCAATTATTGGCATTATTGGCCGAATGTCGAATCACATTGCCCTAGTTCCGTTTACGACTGGGGAAAATGTCGACGGGGGCTCTTTTACACTCTCCTGGGACCATTAAACGATAGCCCTGCAATGACATTTACCAGTCGTTAGATTCGAGAACGTTTCGCAATTGTTATTTCTGCGGCTGATGTTATCGAGGTGCTCGGAAATGCTAGGCTTTTGTGGGAATTGTTTGGCGCTTGCCGACGTTCACGCTTTTGCTCCGGTGCACTTAATAATGTTGTTAACTAAATAAGCATTTTCTCTGTAATTATTCTATAATTTTACCGTATCCAAATCAGATGTCTTCATTGAACTAAGATTCTGATTAATTACTTTTCTAGTTATGCAATTTGATGTATACTCAGGATGTCTGACTTTAACACAGTCACAATTTGAATGCGTATGTTAATATTAAACTAATACATGAACGTACGTTTTGATTTCGGATATCAGACACATCTACGTACGCTCGAAGATATGAAAATATATGCTTCATACTAACCTCACAAGTGTCACACGCTCGGCCGGTGACGTGCGGTTTGCAACGACACTGTCCTGTGCGGATGTCGCACGCGTTGCTCTCCGAACCGAGCTTGGAGCAGTTGCACCCTGGAACAAAGTATATTATCATAAGTATTAAAATTAATAGTAAATAAATGGTGATCTGAAAGTTATAAGTGAAAAAATAAACGTCTCATATATCAGTCGGATAACATCCTGTGACATTCGTAAAAACAAATTCAAAGGCCAAATCATATTTTGTATTATTCAGTAGCATCTTCAATACTCATCTAAAACTTATATGTATAACGAGAAGTAGTGTATACCAGTACTTCACCTGATTTACACAAAACCATAATAAATTGTCAACTCAAATTTTGCCTAAGAATTAATTCATCCATTACTAAAAATTGCATCTAATGAAGATTAAGTATTAGTTTGTCTTATTTACTCGTACCTTCAGATAGTCACGACAACGATATTATATCTGCTTTGTTTTTTAATTATAATAAACCATTAATAATAAATGTCTTGCTTCGAGAAACTTCTGTAGTTAAATAGATATCGAAAGCCTGTTTAAACATAAATGTCTTACCTTCCCATCTACTTAGTTTGGTATTTAAAAGGCCCAGTTGTTAATAGGCAATATTACTTAGTTAAATCATTAGAAATCACTATATAAACTGCAAAGTGCGAAATGTCCTAATGTACTAAGCCTGCGTTTAGTGTCAGGGTGATTGTAAGATTTGTCGATAGCGTGTTATGTTTCCTAGAATTTACTAGCTGGTCTTTGCTTGGAATCATACTTACTTACATTACTTATTTGTCCTATAAATCATTGCTTTTATTTCCTTAATTTTACATTGAGATGTTTTATGTTCGGAATTTTTCTAGTTAATATTAGAAAATAACATAATACCACAGGATATAAAACAAAACAACATGGGTAAAAGGGGTTTTAGTGGATGCATTTAGAATAGTCCGATGGGTAGGTGAATTCCATATGTACGACCATCGCATGCCAGGCTGTGAGGAAAAAATAAAGCATTTTCATAGGCGTAAAATATCACCTTAGGAAAATCTTACAGCTCTCGGGGCAAATAGCGTTGAATTTTATAATTTTGAATTGATTAGAGTGTGTGAAGAAGAAGTATATATTAACATCTTTGGTAGATACTAATTCATTAATTTAAAACGACTAATTAAAATTTTCCATATAGTTTGTAGCTACCAGATATCGATAATTCAAGTTTGTTATCACTGTTAATGGCCTTCCAGCCGGTATTGGCAGTATAGATAATCTATTGGAACATGCAAAATTATGCGCGCGATAACAATAAGCTGAAATCAACTAAGTGCTCCCGCGCAGCGTTATGACAGACTAAAAGCTTTAGGACATCGCAGCCTTAATTTATGACTCTGCTAACGGTTACTCGGTACTTAACGAGATGATTTAATATTAGTACTTTATCGGACAAATATAAAATACCCTGAAATCTATTTGACAGAGGAATCAGTACCAGAAAAGTCAAATCGGCGTAATTACAAATATTCCAGCTAGTGTAGCTATGATAAAGTAATTGAAAAAGATGTGATATGATATTAATTGCTATGTTCAGTGAGACTATTTAACAAAATATATGACATAAATAATTTGAGTAATAATAGTAGAAAATTTAGATTACGAAGTGAACAGATCAGGAACATATTGGTAATTAGCAGCAGGATAGGGGAAGTAAGTAGAACAGAATGTACAGGTGAGCGCGCAGAGATGAAAATGAGACAAAATTCCTATTTTATGCCTCATTGATTATATTTATTACATCAAGTCATATTGTTCAGAAAAACTAAAATTTTGCGAGTATATTAAAATTATTAAAATACACGAAAACGTATATTAAAAATGTCCATTTACATACTTTAAAAAACCAGCTGTGTCAGTTTACCTTAAACGTTTGCATGTTAGTTAAAATTATATGTATACTTATAGAGAAAAGATAAATTAGACAAGATTATAGTGACTACTACTTATGAGGGAATTTGAAATATTGTTTATATAACGCCCCTTTCCCCCATTCAACGAATATCATAAACTTCGGTTGTAAACTTGAAGTTTGCACAATGGATTGTTATTAAAACAGCATGAGCAGCGCAGTTGCTGCCCCATATAAAGGGCACGTCCGTCATCATTTTATGTTAGTTTTAATGCGCTGATTATGATAACAATAGTGTACCCACTACTGACGATTAGTTACTCAAAGCCTAGCTTATTACAAATAATAAGGATCGTTGCGGCCTAGCCACTGGCGCTTGCATGTATGGTTAACATACATAACTCACTCTTTCGTCTCCAGTGACGAGATAGTCTAGCCAGTTATATGTGCGACGAAATCGGTAAGGGAGTTGATCCTTTTTTTTTTTGACGCTGAGAAATGCTTTACGCATACCCGCTTCACCCTGCGCGGGCTCCACGGGTGATGTGGGACTCCTCCTGTGGCCCCACCCCCGAGGGGGCTAGACAAGAAACGGAAGTTTACCCACTAAAACTCAGCGATGTCCCTCTCATGGTGGGCGAGGCGCGGGATCAGCCCGGAGGCCATACACCGCGCAGTTCGCCCCCATTTCGGCCCGCCCCGAAAAGGGCAGGTCCCACTCGGGTTGGGGGTAAGCCTCAGAGACATTCGAGACGCACCCCCACGACGAGGCAGAAGCGTGCAATGCCGACCGGTGCGCGAACCGGCCAGCTGCCCCTGACTAGAGACCAGAGATGCGCAACTGTGCAATCTCCGGTCCCCTACTCATCGTGTTGGAGAGGGCCCACACAGGCATAGCCCTTATCGTGGACCCTCCCCCCCGTAGGTCGATGCGCCACAGAAGACCAGCCTCATCACTCCCTGTATCAGCCCCGAAGGGCAGACAGGGGCGTCCAGCCAGTCGACGGGTCGCATCCCCTCTCGTCGCGCCGCGGCTACGGCCCTACCGAGGTCCCGGCGCCGCACCAGTCGTCGAGCAAGCACAGCAGGCAAGTCCCCGGTAAGTACCCAGGTAAGTACCCACTATGCTACTCTAGACTAGTACGGCGTGTATATGTGTGTGTAAGATGTATGAATGTGTGTGTGGAAGTGTATGTATGCCGGTGTATGTGTAGCTGTGTATGTGTGACTGTATGTGTATGTGTTGTGTAGGGTAGAGTAGATTGTGTGTATGTGTGTGTATAATGCATGTAAGTGTGTGAAAGCAGGACCCCGACAGCGCCGCAGCCGCGGAGCGAAAAGGGAGTTGATCCTTGGTCAGCTGATGGGGTACACAAAAGCCAAATTTTTAAGACTTCCCTGACTGATTGAACGATTTTCAATCGTACCATGAGAGCAACCAAGCTCTACAGCCAATCACATGTGCTGCGTCTAGAATCTTCTTCAATTAACGCCTTCAGTTTATTAATATTTGTTTCTCTTGGACGTCCAGGCATTGGTTGATTTATCAAGGAATAGTTTCCACTGCGGAATAGGCTTGTGTCCTACAAGTAAAAATACAGGTTTTTGTTATATCTTCGAAAAATGTGAACCATTTTAACTTATAAATGTTTAACTAAACAAATTTTAAGTCACTGATTTGGAAAATATTACGCTCTGAAAACTTGAAAAAAGTAGAGAAAATCTACTACAAAAATTTGCTAAAATACATAAGGCATTAAATTAGATATAAAATATGTTACAAATTTCATTATAACACTTATAAACATAAACGCACAAACAACAAAGATATTACAAAAATTGTCCAGACGCCCATACATTTTTCGCTACTGTAGCACCGTGTGACGTCACTGAGTGCGTTGAATTTGTAGGGAGCGTTTTCGGCCAACTAGCAACAGTTCTACAAACACAGCACCGTATCTCCGAAACTATTAATCACAGACATGCTGTTACTTCGACATTATTTCTCAGATGTTAATGGACTATTTATTTATGAAATAAAAAAAAAGTTGTCAACTAGCCTAATAGGCTAGATTGTGATTGATTGATTGTACCTACCTAAGGTATATCAAAACTCACTAATTTAATTGGTTTTAAAATAACTCCCAAATGAGCTGTAATTGAAAACTAAATAAATGTTTGAGAAAACAAAGCAAAGTATCGGACTAGCTAAATTAGCGAAACTGAAGTGGCAATGGATAGGCCATGTAGCCCGTAAGTCCGATTCGTGGTGCAAATATCTACTGGAATGGAGACCGTGGAAATATAAAAGATCAGTTGGCAAATCACAGATGATATGAAAGTATGACATCAAAGAGGTGGCGAGACAAAATTAAATTCAAACAGCCCAAATTAGGAAAAAGTGTAGAGCATTAAAGAAGGCTTTAATGAGAACTTTTACAGTAATCGAAATCATTGCGATTGCTGTAAAAGCAAGTAACGTATTAAAAATAGTTATTGAAAAATATTTATTTTTTGTGAAAAACGAGGAATGAATCTAATTTGGTTTTCAAGTTTACAAAGTTTTACTACTGATCTAATTTTCATATAATGCTTCAAACATGACCTCCTTCATGCCTAGGAACCCTTTGCAACAAAAAAAAAAGAATCATCACATTCTTAAATAAATATAAAATTCAGTCGAATTAAAAATCTCTTCATTTATTTTATAAACTATAGATATATCTATTAAGGTTCAATATGTTGAAATATAAATTCATTCATAAGTAAACAATTCAGATAATGTAAAAAATCTTCCGCAATTTTATTGTCTGTTTATAAAACAATCGACGTCTGTTGATGTAAGAGGATTTATGCATCTGTTGGGCGAATTGAATTAGCTGATTGACAGACAAGCTTAGGGTTGGCAACTATTTGTATAACTTAATAATTAGTTCAATATAGAATTCGTTTTATTCAAATAATAACAACGTAAAACAATATCATACAATTCTTTTGAATAATGCATTTTTCAAGAGTTTCTGTACAGTACTTATTTAAATTGTAGAGACGATTAACATCTACAAAGACTTGGCCGCTCTAATGTCAACATTTGTATGAAAATGAAGTGTCGTCTATATAAAAATCACAAAATAACTGGAATTATTTTAATCTAATAGAGTGAGTTACTTTATAATACACTATTATCAGTCTGTGGCAATGGCGATAATATAACGCATTCACATAATAAATTACTTTCCGATGATCTTCAAAATCGTAAACTAATTAAATACAAATAAACATCTTTATAGAAAAATGCTTAGACAATTCTTAGTATCACGAGAAGGGATAGAAGGAGCAGTAATGAAAAAAGTATAACATTGTGAATGTAAAATAGATTATATCGATTTTAATAATGAGAACACATTTAAATATCACATCGAAGGTTTAAAATAATAGTAAAAATATTATAATAGATGGATTGCCTGAACATTGAAGAAAATACGCTCACTTGTAAGTGTTTGAGAAATTCAGTAGTCCTGTTGGGTCTTGGCTCAATGATTAGAGTAGTTTGCGAGAGGTTATGGGTTCAAGTCCCATCTCACGGTTCATACTGCTGGTTATTTTTGATAGCATTATTCATAATCAAATACTATCTAAACCTATAGCAATGAAACTTGATATATTTATTTAAGGATCAGGCGTTCTTTGCGAAAGTGCTATAATTTGGTATATTATCTGTAAATTTTTGTAACTTACCATTTGCGTATAGCAATGAGCTACAACGTCTGATTACAATATATGAGATTTTCAACATATTTACTTTTTCTTGTTAAGTAAGAATTTACTTAAAATTTAGAATTTAATTGTTGTCAAAAGTATCATTGGCAGCCCTACGTAGTCGACCCAAATCTTCGTAGCGGCGGAAACGTCTTGTGATGTACAATCACGCAGTATTTATTCATGTTCTTTATTGATTTATTGTGTAGGTCGCGCCTTTAGTCAATTTTATAAAAAAAAAAAACAAAAAAGTAAAGACAAAATTTCATTAGGTTCTTTTGCATATTAATTAAATCCGTTTATAAATTAAGTACCTAACTAATTATTACCTTACTACTACTGAAAATTTCAAACCAAATATTATGTAATCTTTTTTAGAGCAGAGAGAGATGCGACAGTAAATTATTACTTTGCTAATAAGATGTTTATGTTAGATTAGTTAGATGTTTATGAGGTCTCTTAGACATCTAATCTCATACTTTATCGTCAACTTAAAATCTTTTATGTGAACGAAATCAACTTTTATGTGTTCATATTAGCAATAATACAAATCTATAGGTACTCTACTTCCATTCTTCTTTCCCATAAGAACATACCTCAGATCTTACCGAATAATATAAGTGACTGACCTGAGTGTTATATTTAACGATTCATTTTTATTAAGAAACCAAAGAAATCAACTTATTGGTAATCTGGGACTAGCGACATTTATTGTATATTTTTTGGGTTGAGAGAAACCAAAAAAAAAAAATATACAAAAAATGACAAACCAGATATGAGATCATTGCGTTATAAAGTTTTAATTATATTCTTAATCGCTTTTAATTAATGTATAGTTAGAATGATGTTGTGGCTATTTAAATTGCACACTGCCAGTATATTCCTTTCCAATTCACGATCGGATGGGCCGACTTAAGATCGATTGTTTTATTATTCCACACGAGGCCACTTTCCAAGCTTTTTCCCAGCGCACATCTGGCATACTTGAGGTGAATTCATGTTTTATTCGCTGTGCCAACAACTGATTCATTGTGAATATGGGCGTGGCGACAGTTTACTTTTTTTCTTGTAGAATAAAAAAATAGCAAGGGAATTTTCCTTCGAGAGGAAAGTTTGTAAACAATGGAAAAGTTCGACTATATTAAGTTTAGATTACTTTTTGTTAGATTGGCCTCATTAATTGGTAACACAAAAATGCAAATTACTAATTTAAAAAAATATTATTAGGAAAAGAAATTGAGTAACGTTGAATTAAAGTGGTATCTTTGTTAAGTGTTTTAGGGTCTTCACTTAAAGATATGATATTATCTCATTGAGTTAAAAGAACTTTAGTTATAACCTTATTAGATTATAACGCATTATGCGCGCTATTCACTGTACGTAGGTGTAGGTGTAAGTATCTTATTAAAATAAACTAACAACAAGTAGCAGCATGTGTTCGCATTACCTAAATAGTCAACTATAAGCTAAAAGTCTTATTGGTGTACTAGCGAGTTAGACCTATAAATTATTTATGAATACTAACATTATCAGTTGATAGTGCTTAGTGGAACAAGTTTAGTACTTATCTCTTAAGTGTTCGAGAGCTTTGGTGGCGTTTATATTTAATGGAATTTAATAGAACTAACCAAAAGGGTAAATTACATGTTATATATTGACGATCTCTGTGGTTGAGAGACTTAAAAGCCTGTTTCAATGTGCCGCCAGCACTGAGGTCCCGGGTTGGATTACCGTTCGAGTCAATGAGGAAAA